TGATGACTACACATCATCCCTCTCCAACATTTTCCTGGGCTGCTTTAGGGTCCCTGTGTCTGTCCCTTTTCCCCACTTGAAGCTCACATGTTCTGCAAGGTTTATAAACATAACCATGCACTATGTACACTGTATATGCTCTGGCTTCTTTCTGTCGCTGTGAATACCAATAATACACTGGACGCACGCCTGTGATCGCAGCACTCTGGGAGGCTGAGGCAGTAGAATCAAAGGGCAATTTAACAATTCGACAAGACACTGTCTCCAAGGGTATTATAGAAAAGGGCTGGAGATGTAGCTCAGGGCAAAGGGCTTAGGTTCAATTCCTATTACTGCTGCACTCCAAAAATCCAGACCACTGAGTACTGTTCCATTCGGGGCTCTGCCACAGTTTTTCTACTCTGCCTTTTGGTGGGCATTGGAGGCTTTCTAGGGTTTTTTTTTTTTTTTTTTGGTTTGTTTTTGTTTTTGCTATTGCACACAAAGCTGCTAAAGACATCTGTATACAAATCTAATTAATTGTTCATTTATTTAAATTTTATTTTTTACTGCAGTCCTGGGGATTGAACCCAAGGCCTTCATATCAAGCTACATGTCAGCCAGCCCCTTTTAAGTGAGCTTTTACATTTATTAAGGCAGGAAAATGTGCTCTGCAGAGTGAATGTGGGCCAATTAAAATAGCACAAGCAGTACATTCTCCATTTCGAGGGGGAGAACACGATTGGTCTTCTTTTTTTTTTTTAGATGGGGTCTCACTATGCATAGTTCAGGCTGGCCTTGAGCTCACTTTGTATCCCAGGCTGGTCTCGAACTTATAACGATCTCCCACCTCAGCCTCCTGAGTGCTGGGATTACAGGTATGAACCACCACGCCCAGCTCGGTCTTCTTTTTTTATTTTGAGATGGGTCTCACTAAGTCATTGTGTTGTCTGGACTGGATGCAAACTAATGGTCTTCCTGCCTCAGCCTTCCAGAGTGCTGGTATTACAGACGTGCATCACCAAGCCCTGCTTGTGTGCAAGTCTTTCTATGGATTTAATTTAGGTTCTTGTGAATAATAACTAAAAGTGGAATGGCTGGGTCAAATCACAAGTGCTTATTAACTTGCTAAGAAACTTCAAGAAACACAAGTGTTTTGTTTTGTCTTTTTTATCCGTACCAGGGATTGAACTCGTGACTGCCTGCTTGCAAGGCAGGCGCTTATGCCGCTGAGCTAAATCCCCAGCCCTATTTTTCATTATTTAAGATGACGTTCCATTATGTAATCCAGGCTGGCCTTGAACTGTGTAGCCCAGGTTGGTTTCCAACTCCCAGTGATCCTTCTGCCTCAGCCTCCTGAGTGTTGGGATGACAGTGTGCACTCAGCCCAAAGTGTTTAATTTTGATGAATTTCAATTTATGGGCCTTTTCCTTTGATAGTTTATGTTATTTGTATTCTAAGAAGGTTCTGCCATTCAAATTACTGTCTCTGAAACTAACTTTTTATCTAAAAGCTTCTCCTAGCTCATGAAAACACTTCTGGAGCAGCTCTCAGTCTCCCTCTTGTGGTGAGAATCTTCTTCTAAAAACATGATCAGCCATAAATCATTTCACAGAGTTGAAAAGCTACCTAAAACCAAGTGTGGTGGTACATATCTGCAATCCTCACATTTGGGAGGCTGAGACAGGAGGATCACTGAGTTTGTGGCCAGCCTAGATTGTCTAGTGAGCTCAAAGCCATCCTGCACTACACAATGAGATCCTGCCTCAAAAAAAAAAAAAAAAAAAAAAAAGTAAGCGCCCTTAGGGAGAAAAGCCTTCTCATTGAGACAGTACGATGTTTAATAAATACTTTAAATAGGTGGGCACCATAGGCACAGCCTCTTCCTCCTGTCCTGATGGCATCAGTGAAGCTCTAACCGGGGCACAGCAGTCTGCAGGGCAGAGGGGAAAGCAGGGGGGCCAGCCTGACCAGGGGCTGCATACCTTTCCCTGGGGCGCCCAGAGGCTGCACTACTGAGCAACTATCACTCTTGAAACTGGAGTGCAGAGTTCAGCTCAGAAATGACGCGTGACACTGAGGGGCTCAGAAACCCAGCAACCATGGGACTCTGTTTCAATTGATAGAAATGGGGAGTGGGCACCTTCCCAAGGTAGGAACTGGGGATGGCCTGAACTTCCAAAGAACAGAATTTCCAAAGTCACAAATTGATTCTTTTATTTACTTTTAGGTTTTTAAAGACAGGGCCTTGCTGTGTAGCTTGGATTGGCCTTGGACTCATGGTGATCCACCTGCCTCAGCTTCCTAAGAACTGGAACCACATGTGAGTGCCACCACGCTCTGCTCATCTTCCCTACTAGAGAGACAAGTGCCACCCTTCCTACCAAACCCCATCATCTCCACCTGTGACATGGCCCCTATTTTTCCTGTCTCCTGGGGTCTTTATGTCTTTAAGATTTTTTGTTTGTTTGTTTTTTGTCTTTTTCTTTTTTATCGGTACCAGGGATCAAACTCATGACCGCACACTTGCAAGGCAGGTGCTTATGCCACTGAGCTAAATCCCCGGCCCCTGTGTCTTTAAGATGTATGCTACATGTCTAAGAATCTATGTATCTTTTATTTATTTATTTTTTATTTGTCTTTTTGAGACAGTGTCTTGCTATGCAGTTCAGGCTGGCCTTGGGCTCACTTTGTAACCCAGGTTGGTCTCGAACTTGAAACAATCCTCCTCCCTCAGCTTCCCCAGTGCTGGGATTACAGGAGTGCACTGCCATGCCTGGTTTAAGAATCTGATATTAGGGGCTGGGGATTTAGCTCAGTGGCATAAGCACCTGCCCTACAAGCAGGCGGTCGTGAGTTCGATCCCTGGTACCAGAAAAAAAGAAAAAAAAAAAAAAAAAAAAAAGAATCTGATATTAAGTGCATATATAGAATGCCTTCTCCTGTAATCCCAGCACTCAGGAGGCTGAGGCAGGAGGATTTCAGCAAGTTCAAGACTAACTTGGGCTAGTCAGTTTGAATCCAGCCTGAACTACATAGTGAGAGCTTGTGTCAAAACAAAACCAAAAATAAAATAAAGAAAAAATGCCCTTTAGCAGTGGTGTTCATAGCTGCAAAACAACTGCAAATATTCCAAGCACTGGCCAATGTGGGCTGGGGTGGAGCTCAGTCGTAGAGTGCATGCTGGGTACACGCAGGACTCTGGGTTCATCCCTGTGCCATGGACATTGACCGCAAATGTACCCATGCTAGATGCCTACCAAAACTGTGATGTGTTCAATCATAGAGCTGTATACTGATGTCAAATTATTCTAAATTATAGCTCTATGGAGCAAGGTCAAAAATCACAGAACAAAATATGGAGAGCCAGCAGGGGGTGGTGGATGCTTCTAACCCTAGCATTTGGCAGGAAGGAGGATTGCTGCAAATTCGTGGCCTGGGCTACGTAGTGAGTAGAATCTAAGACCAGCGTGAACTGCATAGTGGGACGCTCTCTCCGAAAACCAAAAACAAACAAAAGGGAGAAAAGCAAGCTCAACCATCCAAACTGACTGCATATGGTTTGCTTTTTTTTTTTTTTTTTTTTTTTTTTTCTTTTTTTGAGACAGTGTCTGGCTGTGTAGTACAGGCTGGATTTCACTCACTGGGCAAGAAGTGTAGACTAGGGATTGGTATCTGGATAGTTAAAAGAATGCCTCTGACCTCTCAGCAATTTGGGCTAAAAATAACTTTGTTGATAGCTTAATAATTTTTATTTTTTGGTGATGTTTTGTTCTTTTGAGACCCTGCCACTGAATTCACTATTGTAGCCCAGACTGACCTTGAATTTGCAGCAATCCTCCTGCCCCAGCCTTCTGAGTGCTGGGATCACAGGGGCATGCCAACATGTCCAGCCAACATGAATAGTTTTTATACACAATTTTTTGCTATACAAGGGGCTGAATCCCGAGGCCTCTACCACTGAGCTATAGCCTCAGAATTTTTTTTTTTTTGGTCTTTTTCGTTTTTATCGGTACCAGGGATCGAACTCACGGCTGCCTGCTTGCAAGGCAAATGCTTATGCCGCTGAGCTAAACCCCCAGCCCCCAGAATTTTTTTTCTGGTACTGAGGATTGATTCCAGGGCCCTTGCTCTGAGCTACACTTCAACATTGACTGACGGAGACAAGGTCTCACTAAAGTTGCTAAATTGCCCGGACCATCCTCCTGCCCCATCCTCCCAAAGTGGGATTATAGGTGCGTGGCACCAAACCAGGCTGGACTCACAATTTTAACAGAAAAGACAACCTTTCTGAATTATTTTGTGTGTAATTTTTTTTTTTTCGTTCAGATAGGGTCTTGCCTTAGTTCAGGTTGGCAGCCATGCTCCTGTCTCAGCTTCCCGACTGCAGGGATTAGGGGCTGAGTTTACACTTCTAACCGTAAATCTTTTTGTTTTGTTTTGTTTTGTTTTGAGACAGGGTTTCGCTGTACAGTTCAGGCTGGCCTTGAGCTCACTTTGCATCCTAGGCTGGTCTTGAACTCACAATCATCCTCCTGCCTCAGCCTCCAGAGTGCTGGGACTACAGGCATAAGCCACCACTTCGGCTTCTAAGCCTAAATCTTTCACAGATATTTCTCCTTTTTTTTTGTCTTTTTCGTTTTTATCGGTAGCAGGGATCGAACTCACGACCACACACTTGCAAGAAAGGTGCTTATGCCACTGAGCTAAATCTCCAGTCCCCTAAGCCTAAATCTTTACCATCTCTCTTCTCAGCTCGTTATAAAGTTCGTGTTCAAGGCACTATGTTACTCGTCTGACAGCCTAAACCTGTGTCACTCTTCGCACTCCGTCCACAACCTAATTTTCCACCACTCCAAGGACTATTCCCAAAGTTTAGGCCTAGAAACCAAGCAGGACGCCGTATCACTCAGAAAGACCTACGAACGCGGAAATTGCGGAACTGGTGCGCCAGGAAAGCGGGGGCTGGGGCTGGGGGTGGTGGGGGATCTAGAGGGGTGGGGCCTGGAGGCTCCGCCCCATGATTTCGCAGATTTGGCGCCAAAAGTCCAGGGCTTCTCTCAGGCGAGAGTTGAGAGTCTCGCGAGACTTACAGTGGTTGTGGCGCCGTGCTGGTGTCGCTCCGCGCCTGGTGAGTGTTGGAGGCGACCTGCGGAGGCGGCAGGCTGCGGGGTTCGAGAGCGGAAAAGGCGGCGGGGAGTCCTCCGGCGGGGACAGGGCTGCAGGGCGGGACCTCGGCTGCCGCGCAGCCTGCGAACGTCCGGGAGGGAGCCGGGGTGAGCAGCCGCGTCCTCGCGGTCAAGTTCCCGGCCTTGTGCTGGAGGAGACGCGTTTGTGGCTGCAGCCCTTGCTGTGGGAGTGGAGGACGGGGATGCGGCGCCCGGAGAGGAGGTTGGGTTGGGTATCCATCAGCAGGTGGGAGCTCCCCTCCGATGAGAGCCTTTGTGTTTTCCTTCTGCTTCGACCTGGGGATGGAACCCGGGGCCATTGCACGGAGTTACGACGCCAACCTTTTCTATTTTATTTTATTTTGTTTTATTTTGAGACAGCGTCTGACCAAGTCACTAAATTGCCCAGTCTGTACTCTAATTGCGATTCTCCTGCTTCAGCTTCCTAGAATTGGGAGAGGATTACAGGCCTTCACTGCCATGCTCAGTGAGGGATTCTGGGTTTTGTTTTGTTTTGTTGAGACAGAGTATCGCTATGTAGTCCAAGCTGGCATTGAACTCACTATGTAGCCCAGGCTAGCCTCATACCCAAAGGCGATCCTCCTTGCCTCAGCCTCTCCAGTGCCGAGATTACAGGTTCACCACTCCACTAATTCACAGAGATCTTAATTAGAAATGGGGTTAAATACACTTAGTTTTTTTTTTTTTTTTTTTTTTTTTTCCCATTGCTGTAGATTGACCCCCGAGTCTGGGACACGCTGGGCAAAGGCTCTACTGCTGAGCCACCTCCTCAGCCCGAAATATACTACTTATAGCTAGGAAACTACTTAGATTATGTAACCCTTAACTTTCTAGTCTTAAAAATCTATGATCCTTTTGGCTTGCTTGAATATACATTGTGACTTGTTATCAGGGATATTTATAGTCATAGAAATTTAGAATTGGAGCTGGCTCATGCCTGTTATCCCAGCACTCAGGAGGCTGAGGCAGGAGAATCTAGTTCAAGGTTAGTCTGAACCATATAGTGAGACCTTGTCTCAGGAAGAAATTTAGAATTGGAGAGATTTTTGTGATTATTTAATTGCAGTAGTTTCTGTCAGTTTTGGAGGAGCTATAACATTTTTTGGCAAGAGGGTACTGAGGGAAACCCAGGGCCTCACATTTACTAGCCTGGCACTCTACCACTGAGCTATATTCTCCAGCCTTTTAATTTTTTTTTTTTTTTTATATTTTGAGACAGAAAAACCAAGTTTGTACTAACTACCGTGTTTCAGAGGTCAAGGGAAGCATTTTTTTTTTTTTTCCAGAAAAAGAGATTACCCAAAAATGTTAGATGTAGTTGAGAGGTCAAGTGAGATGATACTGAAGAATAATCTAAAAAAGTAATAAGAACTAAAGAGTAATAAAACCCAAAATGTGTAAATTTTGTTGTAAAAAAGAGGGGAAAAAAAGTGCTCTAAAGGATACAACAGCAAGTGTGTTTAGGGGTGTTAAATAGCTGACCGTATTAATGTTTTCGGTTGGACACAACTGTTTGCAGTCTCACTGTTTCAATGTCCATTTTGTATGCTTTGATACTGTGACTTGAGCAACTATCTCTAAGATGATAATATGTAATCTATTAACTGGTGATTTCTTACTTTTTTTTTTTTTTTGTAGTTCTGTATTACTTGTACCCTTACACCGCTTTGTTTTGTTTTGTTTTTCTCTTTTTCCTTTTAAATAAAAAAAAAAAAAAAGAATAATCTGAGTCCTGAGCATGAGGATAATTTCCTATTCCTCAAAGGAGAATTTGTGTAGAAAATCAGTACATAAACACATTGTGTTGATTACTTTTTCTCTTGTTGCTGGGACAAAATACCTGATATCCAAAATTAAGGAAGGAAAGGTTTGTTTAACTCTCAGGTTGTGGAGGTTTCAATCCATACTCAGTTGGCTCCAAGGCAGGGTGGAGTGGCCCAGGGGCAGCTGTGCCACAGCTGATCATCATGGTGGCAAGTTACCAAATGTGACAAGGCAAAAGTGGTGAAAGGGAGGAGCATGCTTCTTTTCTTCCCTTATATTGTATATAAACTCCACCCTAGAGTGGATACAATGCTCACACCACCAATCCCTGCGCTAGACAACCAATGGAAGGCTAGACTTAGTCCCTTTGAAGGGCCTGCCCCAGGAAGACTGCCTCAGGCTTTGGAGGGGGAGACCTCTAAACATAAACCATAGCACACTATTTTTTAAAAGCTGCTATGGTGCTACAGGTATAGTTTTCTGATAAAGCATTTATCCAGCATGCCCTGGGCTCCCTCCTCAGCACAGAATAAAATTGCTCTGGTTGAAGTAGGGGTGAAATACTACCTGTTTCACTTTTGAGTCACATATTTAAAGCCTTCTAGAAAATCAGATTAATTTCTTTTTGGTAGGGAAAATACACTAGCTAGGGTGAAACTATTTTTTCAGATCATATAGCTAATTTAGTGGTGCAGTTCACATTAGAACGTAGTTCAGATTTCTTCTTTTCTTTTTGTACTGGGAATCAAACTCAGGACTTTGCGCTTGCTAGGCAGACACCTGCCACAGAGCTGTATCCCTGGCTCAGTTCTGATTTCAACCAGTTCTTTTCTTTCATAGTTTTCTTTAAAATTCTTTTTTTCTTCTCTTTCAGAGGGGCTCTCAAACTCCTGGATTCAAGTGATATTCCTACCTTAGCTTCAGGCGTGTTGGCAAATGTGCTACATTTCCCCAAGAATTACCTTCTCTTTATTAATGATCACTTGTGGTACTGGATTGAATTTGGGCCTTGATCTCCAGCCACAGCCAGTTTTACTTTGATTATTTTTTTTACTTTTTGAGACAGAATCTCACCACATCATTTAGGCTGGCCTTCAACACACTTTTGTAACAGAGGTTGGACTCCAGTGCTCAGCAATCCTCCTGTCTCAGCCTCCCAAATGCTGGAATTACAGGTGTATGTTACCAGCCTGGCATGAAGCCCTTTTTTGAGGCAGGATCTCGATAAGTGTGCAAGTGACCCAAACCCCAGCTTGTGATCTTCCTGCCTTAACCTTCTGGACTACTGGGATTATAGGTGTGTTCCACCACACATGGTAGTATTTTTATGATGTGTGAGTTTGAAATATGATTTAATTAAACACATGCATTATGCTTCAGGTGGAACTAACATTGTAATAGTCTGTTTTGAAGAACAAAAGCAATTTTATATTTGTTCCCCTAGAGGGAAAGATGCTAGAACCACAAGAGAATGGCTTGATTGATCTACCAGATTATGAACACACAGAGGATGAAACTTTCCCTCCATTTCCACCTCCAGCTTCTCCGAGGAGAGATGGTGAAGGAGCTGAACTCAATGAAGGTCTGCATTGATTTTTCTTTCTTATTTTAGACAGGATCTCTGTAGTTCAGGCTGGCCTTGAACTCTTGGGAATATTCCTGCCTCAGCCTCCGAGTGATGGGATTACAGATGTGTACCAGCACTCCAAGCTGAAGGTCTCCACTGAGAATGTCATAGAAATGTCCCTTCCTTACCTACGTACTTATCAAGTGATACGTTTTATAAGTAAATCTTAAATAATACTAAATCTTGGTATGTTTCACTAGAGTCAGAGAGCAAAGAACCTGTTCCTGTCCCTCCGAAGAGAACAGTTAAAAGGAACATCCCCAGGCTGGATGCTCAGAGGTACTTGGAGCATTTCCTTACGCCTATACCTTTTACACAGCTGTTGCTTTTCTTGTAACATTGAATGCTTTGGTTAGAGTGATTTGGAGATCAGATGATTCTATAAATGTTCTTTTTCAGTTGAGGAGAAAGTATTTTTTTCAGAAATTCTGCTGTTGGTTTGGAGATAATTCTAGAAAATTTGAAATTCAAAATAAATTTCTATTTACAGATTAATTTCAGAGAAGGGCCTTCCAGCCTTAAGGCATGTATTTGACAAGACAAAATTCAAAGGTAAAGGACACGAGGTAAGAAAGGAATTGTTTTTGTTTTAAACTGTTGGGTTTTTTTTAACAGTACCAGTGAAACCATGGCCATGTTATGATGTTTTTGGGAATCTGAGACAGTTTCATAGATACTGTCGGAAAACTTTTTGTTTTGTCGTTGCTGTAGGTTCTATAGCTTTAGGAAAATCATACTGACTTTGAACTTTATAAACCTGAGTTTGTGCTTTATAATTAGAGGAATAAAATTTCCTTTTTCTTTTTTTTTTTTTTTTGTCCGTTTTTATCGGTACCGGGGATCGAACTCACGACTGCCTGCTTGCAAGGCAGGTGCTTATGCCGCTGAGCTAAATCCCCAGCCCCAAATTTCCTTTTTCTTTTCTTTTTCCTTTTTTTTTTTTTTTGAGACAAGATCTTGCTGTGTAGTCAAGTCACTATGTAGCTCCGGTCTTGAACTTAAGATGATTCTCCTGTCTCAGCCTCCCAAGTGCTGGGATTACAAGTATGTGCCACCATGTCTGGCAAAATTTACTTTATAAACCTGAGTTTGTACTGTATAGTTTAGAGGAATAAAATTTACTTTCTCAAAAAGGGGTTTTAAGTTTTGTAAGGGCAAAGACTCTTCCTGTCACTTACATGTTGGTCACTTACATGTGGTTAGGTGTGGCAAAGTGCATGGCTTGTAGGCATCTGAAGTGTTGTTTCAAGAGGAAAACTTTCAATAACTGACAACCACCATCCACATAGTACAATTCAGAAATGCTGTTACCTTTGGATTATATAGGATTATAGGTAGGATTTTTCATAGATGACAATTTTTACAGAGCTTTGCAGTTTAAAGTGTTTCCAAATATTCTGATTTTCAAACTGGAGTTAAGGTTGGTTTTATTATCCAGTTAAGGTAATTTTAGAGTTTTTGAGTGACCAGTGTGGTGGCTGAAGCTGAGTCAAGACCTTGCATATCCCAGCCCCACTAGCATAGTGCTAGAAGTGAGTTGTAAATACTTGGTGTGCAGGAGGATTGGGAAGGAGGGGTGAAGAGCGATTCTAGTGGCTGGCATTCCAGAGGGGTGGGCGATACTGGGCAGGGCAGGACTAAGAGATGAACAACCTGTACACCTCAGTGATTTAAGAAACAGGAACACGGAAAAAAGCAAGAGTCAAATCTCAAGATTTCAAATCTGGGAGGCAAAAAGATTGTATATTTGCTCAACTTTAATAGACAAGAGAGAATGTTAACCTGCATTGTTTTGCCACAAACTAAATAGAAATGTGAATATTTTCAAAACCAAACCCAGCTACTTTATTCTTTGCCTTTTAAGTTTTCTGGTAGTAGTGGTGAATTAATCCCTCGATTTTATAAATTCCTGGTTGTATTTGTAAGTCTAACTAAAATAAGTAAACTTAACCAAGCATGGTAGTGTCTGCCTGTAATTCCAGCACACAGGAGGCTGAGGTTGTGAGTGTGAGACCAGCCTGGGCTACATAATGAGACCTTGTTTCAAAAAACAAAAACCTAAAATAAGTAAGCTATCATAAAGGATATTCGTTTCATGTTTCTTCTGTGGATCAGAATGTGCCGTTTTTTCTTCTCTATTTTGACCTTGAAAAACCTTAACTTTCCCACAGTACTGAATCCTACTTTTTTTCTCCATGTATGACTTGGAGTGTACTGTATTTACATGTCGTTTTCTTTTGTGGAGCCCAACACAATGGTAGGGATTGAACTCAGGGCCTGGTGAGTGCTAGCAAGTGCTCTGCCACAGAGCTACATCCTGACTCATACTTCTTTTGTGTTGCTTGGGTCTAATACGACTTTTTTTTAAGCAGAGTCTCACTATGTAGTTTAGGCTGGTCTTGATGCTCATTTTGTAGCCCAGGGTGGCCTCAAACTCACATCGATCCTCCTGCCCCAGTCTCGCAGGTGGTGAGAGTACAGGCATGTGCCATCGTCACCATACCCTGCCTGATACAAAGTTTTTAAGGTGGTTGGATCAAGATGTATGAGAAAAAAGGCTCCCAGTAAGTGAAAAATAATTTTAGGTGTTTGAGTTTTGAAACAATTTGTACTGTGAGCTGGTCGTGATGATGGATGGTTGTATCCCAAGCACTGTGAGCCAGAGGCAGGAGTGTCACAAACGAGAGGCCTGCCTGGGCTACACAGCCCTATCCTCAGAAAAATGAAAAATGAAAAAGAACAAACTGGAACTTGTATTTTATTGTCAGAAGGGCAAGATGAGAAGAGGTGTCCTCTTCTCATGTCCAGCAACTTTTAAGGTTTTATACTGATATTTTCCCATTCATTCATTCTTTTTTTTTTTTTAAACATTCATTTATTTTTGTGGTACTGGAAATTGAACTTAGGACCTTGCACTGGCCAGGAAGGCACTGTTCCACTGAACTATATCCCCAGCCCACTTTCCTCCCATTTAAAAAAATTTATATCCAGTACTCTTGGACTGTGATCCTCTAAACCTTTAGTAAATGTATATATTTTTAATTCCTCCTAGAAGTTTCTCAACCTAACAAACATGACACCATGACTTTGGCTTTGCTTTTCAGTTCTGAAATGTGCTGACAGGGTCTGCTGTTTAGCATTTTTATTTTTATTGCCAGGCTGAGGACTTGAAGACACTCATCAGACACATGGAGCACTGGGCACATAGACTATTCCCCAAATTGCAATTTGAAGATTTTATCGACAGAGTTGAGTACTTGGGAAATAAAAAGGAAGTTCAGGTAAGGGTTGCAGTTACCATGAATGTCACTGATAGTGCTAAAGAGTGAGTGGGTAGATTTAGTCGAGGCTAAATTGCAATTTGGGTCTTTTTTTTTTTTTTTTTGTACTGGGAATCAAACTCAGGGCCTTGCGCTTGCCAGGTAGGCGCTGTGCCGCTGAGTTATATCTGGTCCTGGCTCATTTTTAAAATCTGTTTTGGTAGAGAGAAAGTTAATAGTTATTTCAAGAACTCTTTAGAAACTAAATGTTGAATAAAATGGTCATTTACTTTCTTAATATTGTTGAAAATATGAAAATGTGTTTTCATTTTCAGACTTGTTTAAAACGAATTCGACTTGATCTCCCTATTTTACATGAAGATTTTGTTAGCAATAGTGGTAAGTATTTAGATTTGTTTACTCTGTTTTTGGTACTGAGGATTGAACTCATGACTTTGCGCTTACCAGGCAGGTGTTTATGCCACTGAGCTAAATCCCCAGCCCAAGATTTGTTTACTTTTATCAGTTTTGCTTTTAGCCAGAGATTTGGGATGGGCAATGTGATAGGACTGGACTGTTAGTCTGTGTGTGTATATAGTTAAGAATATAGTTAATAGGAATGATTAAAATGATTTGTTAAATACACAATGTGAAATATGAAGTTCGTTTCTTAAAGATATGGTTGCAGTGCCATTAGACATGTAAAAATATATTTAGCCACAGAATCTGAACTTTGGCAATTCTGCTCACCCATTAAACCTTTATAGTGCTTGTTAAAATTATCTGTCAAGATACTATGTTCATGTACATGTGTACTGTTAGAAAACCTGGCTCTCGGAAATCAGGCTGAATAATTTGTTGATGAAAGTTTGCATTTTGCTTGCTAAGATCTCTGTGACTGTTCCTGCTAATGATTGCATTTGTCAGTTGTACAGTGTAACCACAGACAGTCACACACATCAAAACAGATGGTTCCTGCCGACAGAGTCTGTAGAGTTATCAGATTTTCTGTGCGATGGCTCCATACACTTTTTTTGTTTTTTTAACTTTTAATAGATGTGGAAATAGAGGCTCCATATAGAATTTCCCAGAGTTATTTATAAGTGGCTTATAAAAGTAAAAGAATGTGATTTAAATAATTTAGGGTCTTAATTTTTTGCTAAGATACTGTTTTAGTTACTTTTATTGTTGCTGAGACAAAATATTCAACACCCTCAAGTTAAAAGAACAAGAGAGGTTTATTTTGCTCACAGTTTGTAGAGGTTTCTGTTCATAGTAAGTTGGCTCCAAGGCAGAGTGGCATGGCAGAAGTGTGTCACAGAGGAGAAAGAGTCCACAGCAAGCAGGCGAGTGAGAGCACGTTAACCCTTTTTCTGTTCTTTGTATTTTATGTGGGCTACCCACCTTAGGGAGGGTGTGGCACTCTTACCCTTAATCCTAGCCATAATTACACCAAACTAACCAGTGAACTGACTTAGTCATTACATACCTCTCTACCCCAGCACCACACACTCTAGATCCAGCCACCTCTGCAAAGCACTTCCCTATGATTGTATAAGGCTTTGGAGAGACATCGAGACACAAGCCCAAGCATTCTCCTGGCCTCCCAAAAACTCATGTATATCCCTTCACATAGAAGGCATTTAGTCCATCTCTAAGAGCTGCAAAAGTCTTAAAAATTTCAGCATTGCTGAAAAGTCCAGGTTTTTTTTTTTTTACACTTTTTTTTTTCTTTTTCCTTTTTACTGGTACCAGGGATCGAACTCACGACTGCCTGCTTGCAAGGCAGGTGCTTATGCTGCTGAGCTAAATCCACAGCCCTCAAAAAGTCCAGTTTTAAAGTCTTTTCTGAGATTTAAGGCAAAGTCTTAGCTGTGAGCTCTGTGCAAATGAAAAGAAATTTAAACACTTCCAACATCCAGTGGCACAAGACAGACATTTCCATTCCAAAAGGTACAAATGGGGACACAAAGGAGTGGGGCTAAAGCAAGGTCAGAGTCCAGCAGGACACACATTAAGTAGTTCTATGTCTAGCATCCAAGGCAATCTGTGTCAAGTTGTAAACTCCAAATGGCTTGGCAGTAGCTCCCGTGGCTTCACTCCTGGGCTGGCTGTGCACCCTTCCTGCAGTTTTTCTCAGAGAATCTATCTTCTGGGCTTTTCTAAACTTGTGGGATCTCTATGAAGGCTTTACACTCATAACTTCACACGCCGCCCTTCCGGGACATACTGTCTGGCCTCCCAGGTCTCCTTCTGACATCTGGGTGGACGCCTCCTGACCCCACAGCTCTTACATGCTGTATGCATCTGGAAACCTGGAACATGTGGATGGTGCTGGGGTCTGCTGCCAGTTGGAGCAGTAACCAGCCTTTTTTTTTTTTTTTTTCTTCTGAAACCCTAACCATAACCCCACTGGTGGCATTACACATTGCTTCCAACACTCTTGCCTTTTAACTTTTCTTAAACATTTTGAACACATTTCTGTCCTAAGACAGGCTGGCTAGCTGACTTCTTTTCTTTCTTTCTGCCTGTCATTTTTTTTAAATCGAGGATTGAATTCATGACTTTGTGTTTGCCAGGCAGGAGCTTGTGCCTCTGAGCTAAATCCCCAGCCCCTGTCTGTCTGTCTTTGGACAGAGTCTCGGTATGTAGCTCAGACTAGCTTTGAATTTGCAACAATTCTCCCGCCTCAGCCCCTCAAGTGCCAGGGTTACAAGTGTGCATACCCGGCTTGCCCTGAGGCTTTCACATCCTTGAACTCAGCCTGTAATCTCATTTCCCTTGTATTTACACAACTGACTTTTTCCTTTTTAAAAAAATGTTTACTAGTGCACAGTAATTGCACTGTGTATGGAATTGGTACATGTACCTAGCACATCTTAATTTTTACTCCCCTTTCCCTCCATCTGCATTTTTTTCCATACATGGCTGACTTTCTCTCTCCAAACTGCAAATGTCAGTTCAGTGAAGCTTCACTGACCTCACTGTTGAAACTGCATCCCTTCTCCCCCCTTTTCTGGCTTACCTATGCTGTTTTCTTTTCTCTTTTTTCTCCTCCTCCTCCTCTTTTTTCTTTTGCAGTTCTGGAGAATGAACTAAGGGGTGCCCTCCTGCTGAGCTGTAGCTCCCATCTTTCTATTATCTCGGGGCGGTCTTGTTCAGGGGTTGGCCTTGAGCTTGGGGTCCTCCTTCTGCAGTCTCAGGTAGATGGGGCAGTAGATGTGTGCCACTGTGCCGACCAGGATTCGTTATCACTTATTTCTCACTAATCATTTTATAGCTGTCTTTTTATGTGTGCCAGGATGATGGCTTTTTGTTTTTTTGTTTCTTTTTGTACCAGGGATTGAGCTCATGACCTCATACTTGTCAGGCAGGCACTTATGCTGCTGAGCTAAATCACTGGCTTTTTTTTTTTTTTCTGACTAGGTTTTTTGCCTCATTCAGTTGCCTATGAATCTTGTGGTGAATGAGATTCCTACACAGTCCTAATTCATTTTTTTTGCTGTTTTTTGAGACGGGGTCTCCCTACAAAGTTCAGCTGCCTTTGGGCTCACTGTGTAGCCCAGGCTGGCCTCAAACTTACATGGTGGTCCTCTTGCTTCAGCCTCCTGATTACAAGCACTGGAGTTACAGGCTTGTATTGCCGTGCCCAGCCTTTAAAATCCTGCATGTCTTCTGAAGGAACAAGCTGCTTTATCAGTAACATTCACATTGTTTTTTCATAAGATAAAAGTTTTTATTAGTCACTTAACAGCTTATCCAGAGTATCACTTGGGTAATATGTTTTTGTACTGATTATTCTAAGTGTCACTTGGACAGATGTCATTTCAGCCACTCAATTCTGTTTTCTTGAGACAGAGTCTCACTATGTAGCCCAGGCTGGCCTGGAACTTGCAGTGATTCTTCTGCCTCAGCCTCCCAAATGTTGGGGATATAGGTGTGCATCACCACACCTGGCCACATTGAATAAATTAGATAAGATTGTCATTTTTATATTTCCTGTTACTAGTATAAAATTTATTGAAAATGTAATTTTTGGTCATCCTGTATTTAATTAATTGGACTGGTAGGTGGTTAAAGAGGTCATTTTCTATTTATGATACAGTTTGTGATTTGAAAAAGTAACTCCCTAGAATAATGTTGATTCAGAATCCTGTCCACCCTGTAAGGAACTCATGTCAGGAACCCCAGGAATGTGTCTTGGCTTCTCTAATAGTGTTTTCTGCACGTCCTGTGTCAATATTTCTTGGCTCATATTGTGCATTTTAGTTTCTTGGCAGTGCTTTTTTCTTGTCAGGAAGGAAGGGTGTTTGGCTTTTTAACAGTTAGGGAAGCATCCTTAAAAGGAGGTTTGATTGTTTATAAAGAGCTAGAGTAACTGTGACAGTTTTTAAATCTCAACAGTTATGAAAGCTTATACTCATCCTTTAAGTATTTTGCTCGTCATAATGAATTTATACATCAAGGCACAAAGACAAAGAGTAACTGTAAATTCCTTTTTTATTTTTTAAGATAGGCTCACTGTGTAGTTCAAGCTGGCGTTGAACTCACAATGTAGCCCAGACTGGCCCTGAACTCAAGGCAGTATGCCTGCCTCACCCTCCTGAGTGCTTGGATTACAGGGTTATGCCATCCCCCCTGGCTCATAAATCTCTATTTCAGTTAGTCACTGGAATTTTTTCATCTGGCTTGTCAGATGGAATGGGGTTTCCTGTTTCCTTTTTCTTTTTTGAGTTTTTTAAAAATCCCACAATGTGAGTAATGCAGAGAGAAGGTGAAATGTCAGCTGCTATTTTCTTCTTATGGTTATCTTCCATCTGCAGGCATTTTTATCATTTTGCACAATTTTTTGAAGCTACCACGTGTTCACTTCATCGGGGCTGTTCTGTTGTAGTAAGTTAAGATGCCAGGTTCTTGAGCATGCTGTCAGAAACAGCTGTGTCATATTGGCTGAAATTTAAAAATGCCCAGGGCTGGGACTGGGGCTCCGGCTGGGGCTCTCGCTCAGGTTCGGGCTCAGTGGTAGGAGGCTTCCCTGACAAGCCTGGTGCCCTGTGTTTAGTCCCGAGCACCTCAGAAAAGCATATAAAAATAGAAATGAAAGAAGCCCAACTGTCTGATTCTACTCATAGACCAGACAATAACTGTTACACAGACAAGTGGTAGTGAGCACTGCCAGTCCTTACTTTAAAAATTAGTAAGACTTGGTTTTTTTAAATTGTGAAATATAAGAGGAAGGCCTAATACTTTCACGTTACTGTGGCTCATTTAAGCCATTTCATTTTGAGATAACTGATGTAACAGGGTTTTTAAAAATTGTCAACACTAATAATTTAGAGCATGGAAACCTCCTTCCCTTCTTATGTTGCCCAGGCTGACCTTAAACGCCTAAATTCAAACACTTCTCCTGCCTCAGTCTCCTGAGTTTATCAGCTGGGATTATCAGCATGCACCACCATACCCGACTGGGTAGCACTCAGTTTTTAAAAGAAAATTAACATTAACTTCACAGATTTTAATGTTTTTGCTCTGTAAAAGACAATGGCCTTGGGGGCTGGGGATTTAGCTCAGCGGCATAAGCGCCTGCCTTGCAAGCAGGCAGTCGTGAGTTCGATCCCTGGTACCGATGAAAACGAAAAAGACAAAAAAAAAAAAAAAAAAGACAATGGCCTTGGGGCTGGGGATTTAGCTCAGCGGCATAAGCGCCTGCCTTGCAAGCAGGCAGTCGTGAGTTCAATCCCCGGTACCAATAAAAAGGAAAAAGATAGAAAAAAAAAAAAAAAAAGATAATGGCCTTTATGAAATTATTACTGTGTGCCATACAGATACTATGTCAGGTTATTAAAATATGTTGCTTTAATTTATGATAAGGTTATGTTTTTTTTTTTTTTTTTTTTTTTTTTTCTTACTGGAGCTTGAACTCAGGGCTCTGAGCATGCTATGCAAATGTGTTCTTCAGCCCTACATTGTTTTTCTTTTTGTCTTGCTGGCCTTGAGCTCACTTTGTAGCCCAGGCTGGTCTCAGATTTGGAATGATCCTCCTGCCACAGCCTCCTGAGTGCTGGGATTACAGGAGTGCTCCACCATGCCTGACTCTCAATTGTTTTTCAATTGAGTGCTGTAACTACGTAGTACTACTGATGTGCTTTTTTTTTTCCCCCACAACAGATGAAGTAGGGGGAAATAACATCCTGGATGTAACAGCAGCTGAATTTGATCCCTTCCTGACGAGCTCAGTGGAGGGTGCGCGGCTCACTCCCGAGCTGAGCGGGAGCCTCACAGAGGAGCAACGGCAGAGAATGGAGCGGAACAGGCAGCTGGCCCTGGGGAGGAGGCAGGCGAAGCTGCCATGCAGCACTCAGGCCCTGGGAGATGGTAAATCAGTGCTGGGTTTTATGCATCACTGGCAAGGGGCTAGTAGCACATGCCACATACCAGGGCATGTGAGAAAGGCTCACTTCTGCTGTCCCCAGCCTCAAGTGTTGCTGGAGAAGAACGGTGTGAGGTCAGGCTCATGTGTACTTAAGGGTGGGTGTGAGCTGTTTAGGGTTTTCAGAGACTGCGTGAGTCTAAGGTAACCTTTCTGATAGCTGAGACTCTCCTTAAGGAGGTTCTAAATGCTTCAAAACCACATTCTTTCCTGGCTCCTTGGAGCCTGTCCTACATAATTTTTAGGGTCATAATTATTATTATGATACTTTGATACTAAATATAATGCCTTCTGTACTATGAAGATTTTAGAGCTAGCTACAGTAATTTAAAGGCTTTTTATTGTTTTTTTTTTTCTCCATTTTTCCCTGTTCCCCCCACCCTTTCCACCCCCCTCCCTCACCCCAAAGGCTTTTTGTGTATGTCACTGGTTTTTGTAATCGCACTCTGGGTGGCTTTTCCTTTCCTTATCTGTATCGCCCCCTCCCCACTTTTAGGGCTATCTTAAGATTTGCTGTTTTTATTTATTTTCTGGTGCTGGGGAAACCAAATAAATTTGCTTAAACAGTATTTAAAAAGAATTACTAGTTTTTTTTTTTTTCCTCTGTACCCCGGATCAACTCATGACCTTGTACTTGCCAGGCAGGGGCTGTTCCGCTGAGCTAAATCAAATCCCCAGCCTGTTTTGTTTTTAAATTTGCTTTTAGAATTACACGTTTTGAACAAAGTAGGCAGGATTACAGTCTCAGTTTGCAATCATTTTTCCTTTTAAAATGGAGAAAGAACTGGGTGTGGTGGCACATACCTGTGATCCATGCCCTCAGGAGGTTGAGGCAGAGGGATCACATGAGTTGGAGGCCAGCTCAGGCTACATAGTGAGTTCAAGGCCATTTTGAAGTATATAGGGAGAGCCTATTTTGAAAAAGGAAAAAAAAAAAATTGGAAAAGAATTAGCCTGTGCCTACTGGCACGTATGTAATCTTAGTGCTCAGGAGGCTGAGGCAGGAGGATCACTGAGTTTGATGCCACTGTGAGTTAGTGAGTTCAAGGGCAGCTTGAACTGCATGGTGAAACCTTGTATCAACCCCCCCCCCAAAAAAAAAGCCTTATTGTAAAATGTTTTTCCACAAGAACAAAAGTCTCAGATGAATATTACCACTGTATTATCATTTTTTTTCCCTATTCAATTCCATGGGAATGTATTATCATTTTTTTAAACAAATTTAACTTTTATCTTTATGAGTGGGTATTTTATTACTACTATGGGAAAAATTACATGAAGATACAGTTATAAAAAGTTATAGTTACTGGCAGCAGCAGCTTCCTTGTCATCAGTCTTTTTTTTTTTTAAAAGCTCACCTTCCATTTTTTGTATGTAATTTAAAATTTACACAAAAAAGTTCTGTTTTTGTTTTTCTGTACTGAGTATTCAGCCAAGAGTGTTTCCAGAGAATTATATCCCAGCGCTGTTGTTTTTTTTTGAGAGAGAATCTTGTTACATAATTCTGGGTGACTTTGAACTCACTGTGTAGCCCAGGTTAGCCTTGAATTCTTGGTGATCCTCCTGCTTCAGCCTCCTGAGTGTGGGGATTACAGGCCAGCACCACCATGCCCAGCCAGCCCTTTATTATTTTGAGACAGGATCTCACCAAGTTGCCAGGCTAGCCTTGTCTTTTTTTGTTTTTTTTTTTTCTTTTTGAGACAGGCTTTCGCTATGCAGCTCAGGCTGGCCTTGAGCTCACTTTGTATATCCCCGGCTGGTCTCAAACTCGCAATGATCCTCCTGCCTCAGCCTTCTGAGTGCTGGGATTACAGGCATGAGCCACCACGCCCGGTTCTTGGCCTTGAATTTTTGATCCTTCTGCCTCAGCATAAGTAGCTGGGACTGCAACCTTGTGCCACTATGCCTGGTGACCCTTGTATTTTGAGTGGACTTTGTTCATGAAGATGTCAAACTGGGTTTATATAGAATGCAGTGATCATGGTTAACCTTCACTCAACTGTCAGGAATCCCATTCTGCAAGCCAGCTATGAAACTGTTTGTCCTTGTGAACATCTGTTGCTTGTCCTGAGTAACACGAGGCTTTCTCTCGCAGATGTGTTTGTGGACGTGGCCGGCACACAGGCAGTGGAAGAAGCTCGCACTGTTGAGCAGGAGGAAGAGTGAATGGGACCTGGTCCACAGCCATGTGGCGATGCTCGTCAGTGCCATAGTGAGAGGAAGTGAAACGAGAGGAAATCCCACTGAACCAGTCTTTACAATGTACGGCTTCAAGTTGGATATGGGGGTGCATAGCAGCACCCCAGCACTGGAGAGGCTGAGATGGGAGGATCACTGAGAGTTCAAGGCCAGCCTGGGCTACAAAGTGAGTTTGAGGTCAACCTGAATTCCATAGCAAGATCCTGACTCAAAACAACAAAAAAACCCCAATAAAATGTACCATCCATGCCACACTGTTCCTGAGGTTAGTGAGACCTCCACTAAGGAAAGGTCTTCTTTACTTGACACCCTTCAAGTCTGCCATTTGTTTTACTTTGTATGAGAATTCTTAGGTAGTAAAATATATTTAAAACCTGGTGTTTATGTATGTTTGTCCCTTGCTGACTTAGTTCAGCCTGTTTATTATCTTGAGTGCTATTTTTATACAGCTTGACTTCATAGATGATTAACAGTTCATAAGCAGCACTGCTGTTGCTGTAGTGACAAAATGGGGTTGGATGGAAGATGCAACTGTGTCCCTTGTATTAATAGCTCTTTTTAAAAAGAAGTGACTTTAAAAAACCTAGCAGCTGTATGAAAGTCTTTCATCATTCTTTGGGCAGGTTACTTTTGTTAAAGTATCTGATTTTGCACACGTTCTGAGCAGTCGTTCTGTTCCATGGGGAACTGGGCCACTGCTGGTGCCCCAGGACCTTGTTGACTGACCAGGGACACAGGACATGTAGGAAAGGGAGGAGTCACAGGGAGGGTCTGGGGATGCCAGGCTTTGGGCCCATGGTGTAGTGACAGGGACACGTGTCAAGATGTAGGATGCCAGGCTGGCAGGGGTGACTTCCCAGGGTGCAGGGTCAGGGCAGGTGGAGGCACTGACAGGAGGCTGCTGGGAGCCCTGTTTATGTTCCAAGGTGGGAGGGAAGACTGAGCTGGGCTTCTCAGAAGGGGAGGCGGGGAGTGGAGGAGAAGCCCTTGCCTCTCCCTAGAGGGGATAAGGCAGTGAGTGGCTTCTGTCCAGAGCTGACACAGCAGCTGTCATGTGCTCTTCCAGGTCACTGACTTGGGGTTGGGACAGTGACAAAGATGGCTCCAATGAAAAGCCAAAGAGTGGAGTGTGACAGCGTGTGGGCTCCCAGGGAGCTACTGCAATAATGGGCCCAGGAGGTGTGCGTATCAAAAGGTTGAGCTTACTGTCAGGGGGAATCAGAAGATAGCCCAGTCCCAGTGCCACCGAGCAGGGTGTGGGGGTACACACCTGGGACCCCATCACTTAGAAGGCCGAGGCAGGAGGGTTGCAGGTTTCTCAGGGAGTCCTCTTCAGGCCTCTGTCCACACTCAGGGCCTAGGAGAGTTCTTTTTCTGGTGCTTGGTTTGCTGGCAGAATGACAAGCTCCTGGCAGAGGGAGGCCAGTCATCCCATCTGAGGGGGCACTTAGCAGTGTGGGGTGCAAACAAGACTGCCACACATCCCATCTCCTGCTCTGCTCTGTCACCAGCTGGTACCAGCATAACTGGGAAAGTAAATATCAAGTAGGACTTTAAAGTGGCAGGACCCAGTCTTACTGAAAGTGACTGTAAAAGCTGTCTGAGCCCTGAACCAGAAGGGCCTCAGACCAAAACAGCCCATTGTATGAGTTTCTTTTTTGTTTTTTTGAGACAAGCTCTCACTGTGTAGCCCAGGTTGGCTTTGAACTTGCAGGGATCTCCCCTACCTCTGCCTCCTGAGTGCTGGAATTACAGGCGTGTGCCACCACACCTAACCTAGGAGGTTTTTTAAAAAACTGGTGCTGGGGATCAAACCCCCTGAGACCAGACAACTAAAACTTGGTTTATTAAGAAGCCATCAAGTGACCTTATGGAGCACTGTTCCCTGTCTGCTCAGGGCTGGAACCTCTGTGTCCACAATGACCTTGCCCTGCATTTACAGCAGCACCAGCGAACCAGGAGAGAAGCACGGGAAACGCCTGCTTGGTCCTGATCAGTCCAGAGCACAGAGTGACGAGACACCATGTGAAGTCTGGGAAGACACTGAGCCGAAGCTCTTTCAGTGAAGTGAGCCCCTCTCACATGCCGCAGTCCCCCGAGACGTCCAGGAGCGCCAGGTCCCTGATCTCCTCCAGAAGCATGTACAGACTTCGGCCCTTGGTCTGCCGGTACTCCAGATACTCCTCCTCCGGGATGGCGTGTGCCACCACTTCCTGGGCCAGCTGGGCCTCCTCTGCGCACCTGGTGACCTCCCTTACTAAGTCGCTCTTCAGCAGGAGCGGGCTTGGCTGGGAGAGCTCCGAGTTCGGGTCCTTGTGCGGTTTATTGCTGACCAGCTCAAGCCTGATGGTGTCCGAGTGGCAGCGCGAGGCCTGCACAGATATTCTGACCTGTCACAGAGAGAGGCACATGTCACCAAGCCCAGCTCCTGGTCACCCTGAAGGCAGCACTTTAGAGCCCCACGCTTACCGTCACATGGTCAAACAAGTGGAGCGTGACCGACTCCCCTCCCGTCGTGGTGGAGATGATTCTGTCCTGAAATCTCTGTAGGGACCCTGGTTTCCATTCCAAGCAGCTGTCTCGGCCACAGGCCATCACTAAACAATCTTTATTTTTTAGATAAGCAGCACCTTTAATCCCAAACCTGAATCATCAAAATAAAGATCCAGAGATAATATACATTGCATATGCATGTCTTGCGTGTTTATCTAGATGAAAATCAAATCACACTCTTCTGTGATTTTCCTCCAGATTTATTTTACTCTAACATGGGAACACAAAATGTTTCATAGGTAAGACCGTAGCATGGACATAGATGTACTCAGTTGCCTGCATTTCATAATCACATACTGAACTGTACATTACATTGTGTCACTGATAATTTTATAGTTGCTTAAAGTAAAAATCTGTTAGCTGGGTGTGGTGGCTCATGACTATAATCCCAGCACTCAGGAGGCTGAGGCAGCAGGGTCACTGCAAGTTTGAGGCCAGCCTGAACTACACTGTGAAGTCTTGTCTCAAAAAGCTTTTTTTTTAAGTGTTGGGAATTGAACCCAGGGCCCTGTGCATGTGAGGCAAGTACTTTGGCACTGAACTACACCCCTGGCTCTAGGAGTACTTGTAGTTTATTTAGTTTTTGAGACAGGATCTTGCTAGGTAGGTTAGGCAGTGTTTGACTTTACAATAATCCTGCCTCAGCTTCCTGAGTGCTGGGATGACAGGTGCGCACCACTAGGCACAGCAATGCACACTTTCATAAATTCACATCCAGTGTACTGCTTGTGTTGTATACTTTTCAGTCTGACTCCGGCTTTGTATGAATGATCGCATCAGGCGTGACATACCTTGGGATAAACACCAGCACACCATTCGTCCTGATGGAGTAAATAATACCATCAGCTATGCAGCGCTCCTCAGTTTCAGGGTCTTTGTCTTTGAAGTACATGCACTGGAAGAGCTCAGTGGACTGCTTCTGAGCATGCTGTGCTGCCTAGAAGTGGAGCCCACAGGATCAGTGCTGCCCTGAGAATCCCAGAAGAAACTTACCCCCACGCACAGGGCCTTTAAAAATTACATTCAGCCAGGCCTGACCATGCTCACTGATAATCTCCACACTTAGGAGGCTGAGGCAGGAGGATCCCAGGGAATCTGAGGCCAGCCTAAACTACGTAGTAAAGAGCCTGTTCTTTTTTTTTTCTTTTAAATCCAAGGAACTGAATCTCTAGTTCTAATTAATTTAGATATGAACATGGCTATTGCTACAGTATTGCACAACACAATTAGAACCACTGTATTAAACAATCAGGTGGTTCTTAGTGTTCTGTGTCACCCTGTGGCCCACTTCTGTGCTGTGCAGCCTTACAGCTACTAGCAATGACGTGCAATAGAACACAAAGCAGCTCATAAAGTAACGGTGCACTGTAGTCACTGGCATGCTGTGTTATCCACAAGCATGCTAAGTGAAAAATGGTGTCTAATAGAGTGTATTTCTGTAAATGAAAATGTAAGATTGTCTAGAATTAGCAATGATTATCACTGGGTGATGTGACGAGTTTTCTGTTTTCATATCCTTTTAAAAACTTTTTGACAGGGTCTCACTACGTAATTCAGGCTGGTCTTAAAGTCACTATGTAGCTCATACAGGCCTAGAACTCGTGGCAGTCCTCCTGCCTCAGCCTCTCAGATGCTGAGATGCAGGTGTATGCCACCTCCCTGTCTTCGTATCTTTTTATCGGTACCGGAGATCAAACTCATGACCGCCTGCTTGCAAGGCAGGTGCTTATGCCGCTGAGCTAAATTCCCAGCCCCCTGTCTTCGTATCTTTATACGTTGTTTGAATCTTTATATATCTACCTTTTGGAATAACCCAATTCACTGTCACATCTTCCAAATCCAAGTCAGACATGGGGGTGCATGCCTATAGTCTCCGCTACTTGAAAGGCTGAGGCTGAACCCTATAAATTTGAGAGGAGCTTGGGCAACACAGTAAGACCTCATCTAAAAAACAAACAGGTCTCCCCAAATCCACATAAGTTAATGCACTGAGATGGCACTGGTTAGAATAATTATGGAATTTAGCTTGGCATTCCTGTAATCCCAGCACATGGGAGCTGAGGCAGGAGGACTGGTGTGAGTTCAAGGGCATCCTGGGTTACATAGAGTATGTCTTAACAAAGCAACAAAAAAAATAGAATAATTGTGGAATATAATTTGTTAAAATACATAGGTACTTCACTCTTCTATGCAATAAAACTAATTAGCCAGAACCTAGGGTAAGAGGATTTTTTTTTTTTGAGACAGGGTCTCACTAGAAGATAGCCTTGAACTCAGCAGTTCTCCTGACTCAGCCTCCAGAGTGCTGGCATGACAGGTGTGTGCCACTACACCCACATGTAAGGGAAATATTTTTTTGGTGCCAGGGATCAACCTCATGACATGGCACTTGCCAGGCAAGCACGTAGGCCGCTGAGCTACATCCCCAGCCCAAGTAAGAGAATTTTTAAAGCCCTTCTTACTCGGTTTCTGTTGTTGATATGTCTACATAATTCCTCAAGATCTTTGTTGCTTAATAAATTTTCTTTCAGTTCCATTTTCTCATCTTTTGCAATGGCTGCCATTAGTAGGCGGTGCACGATAATATCCGAGTATCTCCTTATTGGAGAAGTAAAGTGGGTGTACTTATCCAAGGCCAGACCTTCGAAAAAGAAACCAGTGTCAGGAGAGGAAGTACACATGTGCTTCTTTTTTTTTTTTTTTTTCTGTCTTTTTCCTTTTTACCGGTACCAGGGATCGAACTCACGACTGCCTGCTTGCAAGGCAGGTGCTTATGCCGCTGAGCTAAATCCCCAGCCCCTCACATGTGCTTCTTAAACAGCATGCGCAGGGTGACCACACATGGGGGAGATGTTGTCATCACCGTAGTGGTGGAACTCCTCCTCTGCACAGGAGCCACTAGAGAAGTACAGTGCGTTGGACATGGCCTGCGTGGCCATGGAGCGCAGCAGCCGGTTCACCATGGGGTCGGTAGGGTCCTCTGCCTTGTCCAGAGAGTCGGCCAGCGCCTTGTTGGACCTGGCAAGCAAGAAGAAAACCAGACATAGCCCTGCAAGGCGAGTTACAGGGCAGTGCTCCCACTGGAAGGAACCCTTTGCTCTCTTGATCTAAACACCACCTTCTGCCTGCAGTGAAATTTTTTTTAGACATTTCAGAAGCAACTCTTTTCAGGCACAGAAAGCTAGTTTGGTTTTGAGGTTGAAACAAAGAAGAAGTGTCAGACTCTGTACAGTTTTTGTTTTTTAAGACAGGGTCTTGCTATGTAGCCCAGGTTGGCCTCAAACTTCTGGCGACCCTCCTGCCTCAGCCTTGTAGAGTAGTGGGATTACAAGTGTGCACCACTACACTTAGTTTGAATAAATTTCTTCAGTAGGAAAGAATAATGTGCTGTTTAATGCTGGGGTGGGTAGTGGTTGGCTGTCATACTTAAGAGTCCTGTTGAGATGAATTCTTAACACATTAACCTTATATAGCTTTTCTTTTTCTTTTTTGTACGGGGAACTGAACTCACAACCTCATACGTGCCAGACAGGTGTTGTGCCGATGGGCTGTACCTCTAGTCCTAACCTTATATATCTTACACTAACCACTTTTTCTTTTTCTTTTTTGAGACAGGGTCTCACTATGTTATTCAGGCTGGCCCGGGGTTCACTGTGTAGCCTAGGCTAGCCTCAAACTCATGATGATCCTCCTGCCTCAGTCTCCCAAGTGCTGGGATTATAGGTGTGAGCCACAATGTCCAGTTACTTTTTAAAATTTCTATCAAGAATTAGTAAGCCTTAGGGAGTTTAAGAAAACAAAGCAGCTGGACTCAGTGATATGTGTCAAAGTCCCAGTATTCAGGAGGATGAGGCAGGAAGATCTCTTGTGCCCAGGAATTCGAGACCAACAAAACATAGCAGGATCCTGTTTCGAGCAATAACTAATTAAAGCAAAACAAAACGGAGGGTACATAAACCCCTAAATTATTATCATTTTATTTATTCATTTTGTAGTCCTGGGGATTCAGCCCTACTTCACCACAAAGCTATATCCCCAGGCCTCTTTATTTTTTGAGACAGGGTCTTACTAAATTGCACAGACTTAGCTTAAATTTGTGATCCTCCTGTTTCAGCCTCCTGAGGAGCTAGGATCATATGCTTAAACCTGGTGTTTTTTTTGTTTTTGTTTTTTGGAAGAGAGCTATAGGAACTATTCTATTTATGTATTCTCAAAATAATTTTTAAACCATAGGAAATACAGAAGTATATCAGAAATAAAACTAATAATATAACATATAGTTCAATTCTACATTGTGTCTAGCTAGGAGTAAAAGGAAGAGAGAATGATACTGAACACAAGCCACACTGAATGGTCACTAACGTGAGGTTTCAGATTTGATGGACTTGCATTAAACTCATGACTCAGTGCTGACCTAAATTATAGGCATGTAGCCAGGCGTGGGGGTGCACACCTGTAAGTCCAGCACTCTGGAAGGCTGAGGCAGGAGGATCCCAAGTTGCAGCTGACTCAGAGCAATAGGGACTTAGTGAGACCCTGTCTCAAAAATGAAACAAAACAAAACAAAAAGCACAGGTTAGGCTGCATTTTGAAAGTGTTAAAGTAAGATGGGCATGGTGGCACACACTTGTAATATCAGCGCTGGGGAGGCACAAGGCTGGGCTAGAGCACGACCCTGTCAAAAACCAGCACTTTGTAGGTACCATTAAGGTAAATGAGGACAGCCAAGTGTCGTACTTTTGCTCAGACACCTTCCTGTGTCCGCTGTAAACGACCCATAGAGCACCTGCCCTCCCCGCCGGAGCGCCCCGATACCGAGTGTCGATGGTGAAGCCCTTGGCCGCGGCGCACTTGCGGAGCTCAGCGAAAAACTCCTGGTGGGGCGGTGGGTGCTGGCGCAGAAGGGCCTGGTGTGGGAAGCTCTCCCAGATCTTCTTGGCCACCCAGTGGTTGGCCAGGATCATGCACTCAGCCACGGTCTCATGGACCTCCAGGGGCTGCTTGGGGATGAGGTCGTGGATATTGTTTTTGTCATCGAGCTGGACTCGAACCTCCACGCCCTCCAGCTCCAGGGCCCCACAGCGGTTGCGCTTTGCCCGGACATGGCGAGCGATGTCAGTCAGCCTCTCGATGGCCCCTGCCAGCTCCTCCAGCCTAGCCTGCTTGCTCTTCTCATCCAGGTTTTTGAGTTCTGGGATCTCATCAACGATGCCAAAGTTTCTATCCAGGAGCTCTTGAGCTGCTTCATAGCAGAGTTTGTAAGCGGACCGAATGATGGTTCTTCCATACCACACCGTCTTAATTTCATAAGAGGTTTTATCCAGCTGCCACATGACGCTCACAGCATACCTACAAAACGGGTAACGTTGAAAGTAGGCCTGTTAATTTTTTTTTTGGATTGGAGATCAAACTTATAACCTTGTGCTTGCCAGACAGGCACTGTGCCACTGAGCTAAGACCCCAGCTCTTTTTTTCTATTTTTTTTTTTGATACAGGATCTTGATAATGTAGTTCAAGTCAGCCTTTAACTTGTAGCAATCCTCCTGCCTCAGCCTCCTGAAAGCTGGGATTATAGGAGACCCAGGAAATTATAGTCAAGCTTTCAAATCCCACAGGCAGGACTATGGCATTTCAACTTTGATATCACCCTTGATGACAGATTAGCAAAAAATTCATTTTAGCAAAGAATCACTCTGTCATCAAAACATTCTATTTAGGAACACAGACACTGCAACTCATATATGAAAAAGATCCTCTTCCCTAATATATAAAACATACTTACAAATCAATTAGTAATATATCATAAACCCAATGAAAGGTGGGTAAAGAGAGTGAAGTATGCAATTTACAGAAAAGGAGTGCATAAATGCCTGTTAAACACAGAAATTTTAGTAGGAAAATGCAGATTAAGACCACTCTGAGATACTTACTTCTTATGCTGGAGATTGAACCCAGGGCCTTGTGCCACGAAGCACATACTTCACTACCCAGCCACAGCCCTGGCCCTTCTAGTTTTCATTTATCAAACTGGCGAAGATAAAACTGTATCATGTACTCCACTGGCAAGGCTGCGGGAAAATGAACATTCCCACATGTGGCTGGTGGAAACACAATCTCGGTGGCCTCTGTGGCGAGGATTGGATTATGTCACTGAACACACAAATGCACAAACCCTTGACACACACACTGCACTTCTGGGAATATCTCCTTCAAAGACACTGCATTTTTTTAAAGGTACGGCATGAGTTATGTTCAGAATTCAAGGTGGCTTTGATTTTAACAGTGACACACTGCAGATTGAATGACATATAAGTCACCGTCATTCAATGAAATGATCCCAAGGCCCATTAAATCCAAACCAAAGAGGTGGTAGATAGTGTGACTGTATGTGTGTGATGTTGCCATTCATGTGGAAAAAGCACGGATCCATATTTGTGTGTGTGTTTGTTCTTGTCTTTTGGTTTTTGAGACAGAGTTTTGCTATGTAGCTCAGGCTGGCCTTGAACTCATGACAGTCCTCCTGCTTCAGCCCCTGAGTGCTAAATTACAGGCATGCACCATCACTGCCAGCTTATGTGTACTAAATCTAGTAGAACAAGAAACTGGCAACTGAGGGAGAGTGACAGGATGGAAGCTTTCATTAAATATCTCTTGGAACCTATAGACCTGGACAGTGTAATTGTTACTACCTATTCAAAAGCAAACTTTAGGAGGGGTCACAGCTCATTGGCATAGTGCCTGCCTGGCAAGTGAGAGGTCCTGAGTTCAATTCCCAGTACCAACGCCCCCCACCCCCAAAAAAGAAAACAACAACAATAAAAAAAAAAAAAAAAAAAGGCAAACTTTACAACAAAGGAAAACTCCTCAAGTGTGTGATCCTCACACCAGACAGCACCCACGGGGACTGAGCATGTTTTAGAAGGGAATTTTACAGCACAGAAAAGGTGGCCACTTCTTTTTCTTTTTGGTACGGGGGTGGGGAGGTCCGAACTCACAACTTCATGCTTGCCAGCCAGACACTTTATGCCCCTGAGCTAAATCCCCAGCCCAAGGTGGCCACTTCTGAGGTGCACCAGGTAATGTGGCCGGTCCACAACAGGCCCTAAAGATAATAAAAGTAAACTCACCTATCCACGCCTCCCAGGAGGGAACACAGGTCAGCACTGAGGACAGAGGGCAGCATGTCATAGCGCCGATCTGCTAGGTAGTAAGTGGTGGCCCTGTGAATGACACAGAGGCATGGCTGACCTTCAGCAGATGCAGAAGTGCTGGCAGCTAGGCCATGGGGAAAGGATGTGGAGGAACAGCCAGGACCCGGGACAGGCTCCCCAGCACAGGCGCCGGCTGTGTCATGAAATGCCTCCCAGACGCCCGCTTCCCTGATTCAGTTTTGGGCTGACTAATCTAGTGATGTAATAAAATCCCCCCACTGTGTGCTTGTAATCCCAGAGCTTGGGATGCTGAGGCAGGAGGGTCGCCATGAGCTGGAGGCCAGCTAGGACCACATAGTGAGACCCTGTCTTAAACCAAAACAGCTGTCTTTGCTTTTCCTCACCATAACCCACCCTTTTTTTTATTTTGGCTTTTCCCTTTCACTTGGGCTGCTCAGTGTGGCTAAACTCACTCTCAGAGCCTCTCAAATAAATTTCACTGCTGCTAAAGAGCAAGTGACACAGATCACGGCTATGGGATAACTAGAATGCAGTGTTCGTACAGTATGTTACTGCATGAAAACCAAACTCAACTTAGCAGAAAATTTTGTATAGCAAAGTTGAAAGGTGATTTGCTCAACGTACTGTTTTTTGTGGTACTGGGGATCTAACCTAGGGCCTTGTGCATGCAAAGCAAGAGCTCTAGCACTGAGCAGCACCCCCAGTGCCTTTCTTGTTTTTCTGAGACAGGGTCTCGCTGTGTTGTCCAGGATGGCCTCAAAGTCGTGGCATCCTCCTGCCTCAGTTTTCCCAGCGCGAGGCTCACTGGTGTTTACCACCACCTCAGGAGAAGTACTGTTTTTCTAAAACAGGTGGGGAAGGCCAGCGCTCTGCTTTTTTGTCCCCCCACAGGGGATTCTCAGAACGACACACATTCGCTATTTCAGCATCTGAAGCCAGCAGACAGAAAACAGCCACACACATGCCCACAGTGGTGATCCCCACAGCGTCACACCTCGTCCTGGCTTTGACGTCGATGTAAGAATTGGAAGCCACGAAGTGTGTGACGTCTGCAATGTGAACCCCGAGTTCCAGGTCACCGTTGCTCAGGGTCCTGACAGACAGCGCGTCATCCACGTCCTCACAGCCCTTGGGGTCGATGCTGAACACCAGGTGGGTCCGCCGCAGGTCTCTCCTCCTGCGCTCCTCCTCGGCACTCACCTGCCAGGGCTTCTCGGGGGTGTTCACGGGTGTCTCACACAGCTGCACAAGAGGTCACATCCCAGCCCCTGAGCATCACAGGCGGGGAAGTCTACACAAGCGGTGATGTGAGCGGGTAGAGAAATTCGCCTGTGTGTCAGCCCAGTTTGTGTCTTGGATCAAGAATTATTTACTAGGTGCCTCAGAGATGTCAGACTCTGGGCGTGGCACGGGATAGTTGGGGCTCTCCAGAAAACACATTCTTGAGGATCTCTGCAACTGACAGGAAGTGTCTCAGGAAGTCACTTCTGCTAGCCTAGTCAATTACGGGGGCTGCAGCAAGAGTGGGTGGCTCAGGAGAGGGTAAAATGTACCCCATTTCCAAACGATCTATGTTTGATTTTGTTCCGCTACTTTTCTTCTCCTTTTTCCTTTTCCAGATAGAGTCCTGCCATGTAGTTTAGGCTGTCTTGAACTCCACAGCCCAGGCTGGCCTTGAACCTGGGGCAAGCCTCCTCCCTCAGCTTCCCAAGTGCTGGGATTAGAGGTGCAAAACCACTAAGCCCAGCCTGATCCATTTGCTTGAATGTGGCTTTAATTCAAGTCAAACTCTGGAAAAGCCAATCTAGATGTGGTGGTGCATGCCTGTGATCTCAGCTCTTAGGAGGCTGAGGCAGGATTGCTGGGAGTTCAGGGCAGTCTGGGCTATATAGTGAGTTCAAGGTCAGCTTGGACTACATACTGAGACCCCTGTCTCTAATATTAACAACAACAACAACAACAAAAGAAAAATTCCTTTAAGATAATTTAAACAGGACCAATCTAGGGCATTTTCTCCCTATTTTTACTTAGGTAAGCCATCAATTTGCAGTTAAGTAGGCTAACAGGGGAGACAGAATTCTAGTTCTGTAATTTTAATTCACACTTTATTTTATTCTAACATTTCCACTAAGAGCTATGAAACAAGTCAACAAATCATTTCCAGAAACTAATGTTTAACATAAAAATTTAATAATGTAAAATATTCTAAAACATTTTCCTATTATAGTTCCTATTCTGTCAAAAACTGTGAAGAATATAAGAACACCCATCCACCCTGATGGTAACGGAAATTGGTCCAATTTTACAAGGAAATGCTGCCAGTACGTAACGCAAGCTGTTTACAATTTTTATACCCTTTGACTTGGTAATCTCACTTCCAGGGTTTCACACCAAGGGAATTATCAAAAAGGGGGGCGAGAGTGTTAATGATAATATTGGAAGGCAGCGTTTTTTATAATACAGTACTGAAAAATTCAGCAGCCCCAATGCCTAACAATCTGAGGAAGGGGGATACAAACAGGATGTGTCCATAGACAGTCCTGTGTTCCAAGCACTGCTTAGTAGGCTGTGTCAAACTAGAGAAATAATTTTAAATGAATGATGCAGAACAGAAAATCAGTGCACACTCGAATATGCCGAGGCAAGGATAGTAAACAGGATCTATGCAGATTTCAAGCGGTCACAATGCAGTGTGAACAGCTGGTGTTTAAGTCATGGGGACTTCGTCTTCTGCAGAGATTGGGAGTGGAGTTTCACCAGCGTGGTTTTTTGACCCATGGGCGGGCGATGTGTGGTGCTAGATTCTGTTCCCCTTGTGGCCTGGGGCTGATGAGTTGTGATGGGTTGTGTGTGTGCTGGGCCCCCGAGTTCTCCTGAGGGCACTGACTGTGAGACCCTGGCATGCTGGTTTGGTTTTCCTCCCCTCCCCTCCTTTCCTCTCCTTTCTTTCTTTTTGAGAGAAGGTCTTTATGTAGCCAAGGCCGGCCTCAAACAGCAATCCTCCTGCCTCAGCCTCCCAAGTGCTGAGATGACAGGCATGCAGCTCAACGCCAAGCAAGCGTACCATTTTTAAGCACAGTTGGAAAATGTGAAACTTGGAGAGCGAGGAGACCATATGAAATGAATTCCAAGCCTGAAGCTGACTTTAGTGTGGTCCAAATACAGAACAAAAGCCAGACCTGGTGTCAGCCACCCTTACCCCTAGTCCTGGCACTTGAGAGAGAGGCTGAGTTCCAGGCCAGCGCAGACGACAGAGCAACACCCTCTCCAAAACATGAAAGCAAAACCAAACAAATCTAAAAACCCCAAGGCAAATCAGAAGAAAGGAGGGAGACTATTAGGGCTTTAGACAGTGGGCTATTCCAGAGAACATAGGTCTGCCTGCCTGCTTCTCTTTTTTGCTTTCCTTTCTTTTCTTTTCTCTCTTGCTCTCTTTTCTTTCTGGGTTTCAGAGGCAGGTCTCACTATATAGTTCAGGTTGGCCTCGAACTTGCAGCAGTCTCCTGCCTCAGGCTCTGGAGTGGTGGGAATCACAAATGTGCACCACCACACCTGGCTCCCGGGTGTTTCTTTCTTAATGATGCAACTACAACAAACCCTAAAAGAAATGCCCATGGCAGAGCCACAGTCCCCTGTGAGGTCTGACCTGAGCCTCTGAGAAGGGGGTGACCGAGATGCTGTTCTCCACCAGGATGGTTGCGATCTCCCCTTCTAGGTCGCCGATTCTTCCTAACACTCGGACAAAGTGTCCGTTTGGGTACAAGGATGTCGACTCCCAGGAATCGATGTGCACGATCACCCTGAAGTCCTGCACAGAGGGAAAATAAAAAGGGAGCCAAGAATGGGATCTGCGTGATTCTGTTACAAGCATCAAACGTGTGAGATGAACAGCACTGGGTCATCTGCAGTGGTGGCTTATCTGACTGTTTTCTGTTCTTAATCGACAGCATTGCCAGATGGTAGGTAAACACTTAAGCCTGATGTTTTGAAGGAGGTAATACCTTTACATCAAATAAGTGGACTGGAAATTTCAGTCTGTTAAAGCCAAATGTAACACAATTTAGTTAATACTTGCAACACAATGGAAAAACCCAATTATACATGGTCCAAATACAGGTTTGTTCATTCGTTCGTTTTTTCTTTCTCTTTTTTCTTTTCTTTTTTTTTTTTTTTTTTTTTTTTGAGACAAGGTCTTGCTCTGTAGCTCAGCCTGGTCTTGAACTCACTATGGCACTCAGGTTGGCTGAACTCATGATGGTCCTCCTGCCTCAGCTTCCCACCTGCTGGGCTTCCAGGCGTGTGCCACCACACCCAACTGATCTAATTTTCTTGAAGCCTTAAAATATCCTTTTGTGGGAAAGAAGGTGTCAGTATAAGCTGGATTCCCTACTGCCTAACTCTCTGGGTAAACCGTAGAAATGGAAACGGTACTGGCTGCTCCTGTTTGGCCTCAGAGGGTCTACAAAACCCTCTGGATGCAAAGGTACAATGACCATGTTGGTCTGTGGCTGTGGACATTCTGCTTCACATTTTGCATTTACAAACTGCAAAAACTGGATCATGCCTGCACGCTGAGCCACCAGGAAAGGTTAATTCCTAACTTTTTGTTTATGACTTCTCCCCAGCACTATATGCCTTTATGGAGAATTGATTCTGCGAAGTACCACTACATCATCTCTGCAGGCCAGAGCAATCGTATTTCTGTATCGCTGGCTGGAGGACAGCTTGTTAGTGTTGGCAAAGTGGAGCTATTCAAAGTTTCTGGGTTGGATAGCAGGATAATGTATGTTCCCTCTGCTTGTCCTACAGAGTTCTTTTCTAGGACGATTTCGCTGCAGCCCTCATTTATTAACCATGGACTACTTAATAGATGGTTCCTATATATTTAGAATTTTTAAAAAAACAGGATCTTGAGGTGCCAGAATCCATCAATAAGTGATTTCCTCTTATGCAGAAGAATTCACAGTGCTTCCTATACTGAGCAGCAGCTGGGGGAGACAGAAGGAGAACAACAGAGATTCAGTGTCAGCTACCTGCAGGGCTTCGGCCTGCTGGGTGCTAATGCGGATCTTGGGGATTCTGTAATCCCACGGAGAGACAAGGATCTTCTGAGCATTTTTGCCCTGAGACTGGACCTCCTCCTTGGACGGGAAAGTCACCACATAATCGCGCCAGTTCTTCTGAAGGATGCCCACCACTCGGCCTTTGGGAAGACAGAAGAAAAGAGGTGTGAGTGGGTCAGATGTCACCTACTGCGGCTGTGACCGGCTTGGTAGTATGGAAGCCAAGGAGAGCTGCAAAGTGCCAGTGTTTACAACCCCTGCTACGTGGGTCAAGAGGTGCCCAGAGATCTGCCTTCTCAGAGTTTTGTAGACATGCTACTTTTTAAGATAAGCAATTTTTTGGTACATTGCCAGCCTGGCCTTTCAAGGTGTCTTGAGCCTACCGGTCCCTGTCCCCCTCCCTCACAAACCTCAGGCTGCACTCCATGGCAGTGATGTTTTGTTATTGTTGTTGTTTTTTTAATTTTAAAGAGAACAAAGCCAATTGAAAGAAAACAGCAAAAGTGATAGGGGGACCTCAAAACACAGTAATAGGAAAGCGACCATGGCTATCATAATCCCTCTTGTTATCTTTAAAACTGCTGCCCACGCCATCAGACACAATAAAATCAAACAAAACCAATCAAAACAGAACACTGAATAAAACAACACAGTAAAACAGAGCAAAACAAAACAGAACATTACTGGATTTCAACAACAAGACAGCAGGAAATCCCCCAGAGTTGCTACACTGCGTATTGTTCTGCTCTCAACAGATGCTCACACTACCAGCTTCAGGCCTGCAAAGCCATTCCGACATCACAAGCACGAAGTTGTTTTTGTACTTCAGTTGTTATTAACTCAGTCTGTGTTCCTCTGAGTTAGCCAGGTGCTTGTGGGGATGGGGACCTCGACTCTTCTTGTCTCTCAGCCACTTCCTGTTTCTCATCCCAGCTCAGTTACCAATGGCTCACAGGAAGAGCACATCTTCTTTCTCCTTTGGTGTTTTGGTACAGGGTATCAACAGGCAGAGGAGCAGTGATTCCAGGAGCAACATGGCTGCCCCTGTAAGGTACAGGGCGTGGCTCACCTGTGGGCATGGGCTCGCTGGGGGCCTCACTTGAAGCCTTGTCCTCGCTGTCATTGTCACACAGGGCGCCGGTCCTTCCCTTCCATTCACCCTTCGGGAGCAGTTCCACGACTACCACGTCCCCGTGGATGGCACGGTTCCGAGCCTTCATGCCATGGATGAGGATGTCACTAGCTAGACCTATGTGAGGTGGCACAGAGACCGTAAGGCCCCATGGTGGGGCACACCATACCCCAAGATTCAGACACCTCAGGGTCTAAGCAGCTCTCCTCCAAGTAACAGCTCCTGCCTGGCAAAGGTCACACTTTGTTCTGCTGGTGTCACAGCATCACGCCATAGAACGGGCTTTCTCCCAGGCCACTCCATCACCTTTTGTGTTTGGTTTGGAGGGTCTCATCTGTAGCCCACACTGGCCTTGAACTCACACTGATCCTCTTGCCTCAGCCTGCTAGGTGCTTGGATGACAGGCATGTGTCACCATGTCTGGGGATGACTTATTTATACATTGTTTTCATTTGATTACTTCTTTGAAGTGATTTACTATGATAATATGTCAGGTGAGGGGACACATGCTTGGAACCCCAGCTCTTCAGGAGGCAGAGGCAAGAAGGCTGAAGTCTGAGGCCAATTTAGGCAACTTACTGAGACTCTTGTCTCAAAAAATAAAATAAAAAGGGCTGGGGATGTAGCTCAGGGTGGAATGCATGCTGCCTAGCATGTGCAAGGCCCTAGGTTCAAGCCCCAGGAATGACAAGTGAAAGGTAATACACACTGAGATCACAGGGATATCTTCAAATCTCAGCCTAACTGGCATGGCTGATCTGGACAGGCGACTTTGCTTCTCTGTATCTTAAAAGTTTAGCAATAAAACCAGAAACTAGGGCGCATCTGATAGGAAGAAAAACTTCCCTGTGCTCTGCAGCAATGGAATAACTGTGTTGACAATATGAAATGGGTGTTTTCAAATAGCTAGGGGGAGGATTCCAAAGGTTCTCAGCACAAGGAGATGCCGGCCGTGTCAGTGGAGGATGCAATAATTGCCCTGAGCTGATCCTCACACACTGTATATGTACACTGAAATAGCACACTAGGTGGCAGGGGATATAGCTCAGTGGCAAGTGGCACAGTGCCCACCTGGCAAGTGCGAGGTCGTGAGTTCAATTCCTGGTACCAAAAGGAAAAACACACACACACACACACACACACACACACACACACACGCACACACACACACACACACACACGTATGTTTACCACTCCATGCCGTATAAATATGCACATTTATGTTAATGAAAACTTCATAAAATTTTTAAAAAGTAAAATAAGACACAATCAAAATTAGAGACAAAAGTGAGGAGGAAAAACCTAAAATCCCAACATGCTCAGTGCACACTACGACACGGGCTGCACGACACAAGTTCCAGCTTTGCTCCCCTCACTGTGGCCTAGCAGAATGAGAAAGTAGTGTGGAGGTGTGTATATGCTTCATACTGAACCTGAATCTTTACTGCTGGCTCCTTGAAGTCGAACAAAAGCTTCTATTTGGGCTCTGTATTTGTTCACATTTAGAGTGCCCTGAAATCATAATACAAACTCAGTGTGAGAAAATTTTTTATCTGCCTGTTATACCTCCAAAAAGTCTAGTTTTTTAAAACTTATATAAAAATACTCTCATAATATTCTGCTCTTTCTTTTTTTTTTAGACAGAGTCTCACTATGTAGTCCAGGACCTTAACTCACTGCGTTAGCCCAGGCTGGCCTCAAACTCTCCGGGATCCTCCTGCCTCAGCCTCCTAAATTCTGGGATATAATCCCTTTCCAGGAGTAATATTAAATTTCTCTCGAGAGGACACCATCAGTTTGAAATATTCTTTTGCTATACTATTTAAATATTCCTACTTTGGGCACAGACTTCAGTGTGCTGCTCTCAAACTCTGGCCACAGTGAAAACCTTCCGAGTTGTGGTGGGAAATATCAATTCCAGGAGTGCAGCAGAGTACAGAGGTATAACATGTGCCTAGCACGTGTGAGGCCTGAGTTTGAGCGTCAGTACCACAAGTATAAAGGTGTGAACAGAGGAAAGAGAAACATGAAAAAATAAGTATGAACTCTATGCCAAGACAATTCTGTGTCTCTGTGACTTTCAGCTTATGAACATTGAGTGGATATAAAACTGCTGAGAAAGAAGTCATCATAGGACCTTGTTTCTCCAGACCTTGACACCCCTGGGTTTGAGGGCTGGGGATCATTAATGGGGGAGGAAAATGACCAGAAAATGCAGAGGCTGAATTTCTTTGTTTTTCTGGTACAGGATCGAACCCACCACCTTGTACTGGCCAGACAGATGCTTACACCACTGAGCTAAATCCCCGGCCCCAGAAGCTGAATTTCACAATGTTGCCAAACCTCCACACCCTGACTCAAAACGATGCACTTCATTCCTCCTGACAGTCATCATTTCCAGGTAGCTCCTGCCGGATATGGTAATGCATTCCTAAAATAATCTAGTAGGCTGAGGCAGGAGGACTGCTGTGAGTCTGTGGCCATCCTGGACAAGACCATCTCAAAGCAAAACAGAACAAAACCCCCCGAAGCCGACGTAGCTCCCCGACTCCACCTATGCAGTGCTCCACGCAGCAGGAGTAAGCCTTAGGGTTAGGGTTAGGGTTAGGGGTCACAGAGCAGCTCCCACCCGACAGGCAGGCACAGACAGACTGCAGCCCAAATGTCCTCCACACCCACACCAGGCTGACTCTCGTCCCTGTGTGCCTCGGGCAGCTTGGGGACTCACAGGCTTGCAGCCAGCGGAGAGGGCCCAACACTGCCCCTCGGAGTCCCTCACCTGCACGTAGCGCCCCAACCTGATGCCGGCCTCCAGCACCTCCAGAGGCAGGTGCTCCGCGTACTCCCGGCCGTGGCTCTCCTGGCTCTCGCTCTCCCGCGCCCGGCGGGACTGCAGGATAGATTCGCACAGCTCATGGGCAGCACTTAAATCCGGCCAGAAGTTGTCCAGGTAATCCTGCGCTTAGCAAGGCACAAAGAAGGTGCGGAAGGTGAGGTCAGCTGTGCGCATGAGTGGACAGGGGAGCATTCCGCTCGCGGCCTCTTTATTTTCTTTTTGTTCTTTACTTTCCTTTAGTTTTTCGGCACTGGGGATTGAACCCAGACTGTTTGTACTGAGTGACAACCTCAGCCCTTTTTTTAGCTTTCATTTTGAGAAAGGGTCTTCCTAAATTACTAAATTGCCTAGGCTTGGCTGGAATTTGTGGTCCTCCTGCCTCAGCCTCCCAGAGTGCTGGGATTACAGGTGAGTGCCACTGTGCCTGGTTTTGAGGTTTTTTTTTTTTTTTTCTTAGTTCCAGAAGCCTGGGCAAGGGAACCCTCACAGCCGCCCCACCATAGCCCACTTCTACCTCCCAGATCCTCTACTTTCAAACCTCTCTCTAAATGCACCTCATATGAGGTCCACCCCCAAATCCTGGCAGCCTGTCTTTCTGTCCAGCTCACTGATACACACAGTGGCTTACAGAGAGTGGACAGGAAAAGATCCTATGAGTTGGACATATTCTCATCTTTCTTTCTTTTTGAGACAGTCTCACTATATAGGTCAGGGTGACAGGGTGGCCTTGAGCTCACTAAGTAGCTCAGAGCAGCCTCAGATTTGTGGCAATCCTCCTGCCTCAGCTTCCCTAGGGCTGAGATTACAATCGTGCACCGTCATACCTGGTACTCTTATCTTTTAACATGTTCTTAAACTCAATTTTATTTTATTTATGTATTTATTTATTTTTGGTACTGGGGATCAAACTCACGATCTTGCGCTCACCAGGCAGGTGCTTATGCTGCTGAGCTAAATTCTCAGCCCATTAAACTCAATTTTAAATCTAACACCCAGTATCAGGGTGCCTCCCTGTAATTTTAGCACTTGGGAAGCTGAGGGCAGGACAGCTATGAGTTCAAGGCTGGCCTGAACTACATAGTTAAACCCTGTCTCAAAAGAGACAAAATAAATAAAAAACAAAACAAAACAAAAAAATTAAGACTCAGGCAGAGTGTAGCACACCGGTATTTCTTGAATTGAAATAAAACAAAAAACGAAATCGCAAACCAAAATCCAAAAACCACCCTTATTGTCAACTCAAGCACTTCTTCCATTAATTTCAGGGTCCTATTCAAATTGCCTTTCCACAAGTTCTCTCTGCTAAATTAGCACCCTGATTGTTTGGTCACCTCTCACTCATCAACATCAAACTTTTGTCATCTTGAAGCACCAACCTGAAAACTATTTGTCGCCTTGGCTCTACTCCATATAAACTCATGTCCTCAAAGAAAAGTCTGGGCTTTCCTCTCATCTGAACTCTCTCTCTCTCTCTCTCTCTCTCTCTCTCTCTCTGCTAACATTCAGCTGCATGAGGCCCTTGGTCACACTGTTTGCTTGAGAAACACAGCAAAATAAAACTGTCCTATACTGCGGGACTACAAAGAAAAGTAATTTCCACAAAAAGTAGAAAAGCGTAATTTTAGTCAACTGTCCTCTGCAGAGACAAGACAAGATGTATTGGAGCTGAAAGAACAAGTGACACAGTCATTAATATCCAGCGCCCCTGGAATTCTCTGGCATGCTGAAGCACTTTTTATAGCAGGGCCAAGCAAATTCTATTGGCAAATCTTTAATAATTCGTGCACATGGGCACCTCAGAGAATCTACAATGCAAAATGCGGCTGGGCTGGCTGTAAACTGATGGCAAGGGTGGGCTGTGTTCTAGTTCGTGCAGTCAAAAGACGCAATCAGCTGGCAGAACTTGATGGACACACTGGGTACCCAGACAGGGGAGACTGGTGTCTACTGAGAGGTTAGCAGTCACCCTGTGGTCTCCAAAGGTTCTTAAGAGACAGCAACAGCTATGTTGCTATGACAGCAGGAAGAAGCTGACAGCGATAATGCTACTTCCACCTGTGACAATTTGCCCTTTGCTGAAGAACGGCTTTCCCATAGGCAGTGTTGCATCTTGAGCCCCACACTTGTCTCTGCTAAGACATTCGCAAGGCAGCTCACCCTGGAGATGAAGAGCCCTGGTGTCTGACTGCTTGGGACTGGTCCCAGTGCAACCATTTCTGTGACCTTGGACAACTGGCTTAGCCTTTCTGTGCTTTAGTTCCCTTACTAATAAGGGCATAATAACATTAACCTCATAGAGTTGTTTCTACAATTAGTGCAATAATACACGTGTGTTATTACACTTCAGTAATACTCTATTCTTGGCATAGATACATCCTGATTTTTACTAATAACCAGGGCCACGTAAAACTGCTATTTTGTGGATCAAAAATAAGAATATTGGGCTGGGGATATAGTTCAGTGAAACAGTGTCTGCCTGGCAAATGTGAGGTTCTAAGTTTGATTCCTGGTACCAAAAAAAAAAAAGAGAGTATTAGCCAAGTACGGTGGTACATACCTATAATCCCCACACTCAGGAAGCTGAGGCAGGAGAATCATTGCACCTTTGAGATCAGCCTGGACTACAAAGTGTGCTCAAGTCCAGCTTGAACTACACAGCGAGACCCTGTGTCAAAAAGCCAACAACAGGGCTGGAGGTTTAGCTCAGTGGTACAGGTGCCTGCCTGGCAGGCACAAGGTTGTGAGTTCAATCTCTGATACACCCCCTCAAAAAAAAAAAAAAAAAAAAAAAGCCAACAGCAACACCAACAAAGAATACTGGAAATCTCTTTTTTTTCTTGCAGAATTGGGGATTAAACCCACGGCCTTGAAGCGATATCAGTAGTGCATTTTTTAATTTTTGAGAGGGGTTTGCTAAATTGCTACATTGTCTGGGCTTGGCTCAGATTTGTGATTCTCCTGCCTCAGCTTCCCAGAGCGCCGAGGTTATAGATGGGCATCACCACGCCCAGCTAATACTGCAGTCTTGTTCCACCCACCAGGTTCATTTCTGTCTCTGCAGTAATTATAAACATTAGCTTGGGCACTGGGGATATAGCTTAGAGGTAGGGAATGCTGAGCACACAAATGGTCTGGGATTAATTTCTGCACTAAAAAAGAATAACCAAAACAAAAATGGCTGTATTGTCAGCAGGGCTTGTTGGGCTGGTCATGGACACATTAATGCCTTCCAGTCCCAGGAACCGGCTGAAGTCGAGGCTGATTAGCTGGGGACTCATACACATATGGCATCTTTTTTTTTTTTTTTTTTGTCTTTTTCGTTTTTTATCGGTACCAGGGATCGAACTCACGACCGCCTGCTTGCAAGGCAGGTGCTTATGCCGCTGAGCTAAATCCCCAGCCCACATATGACATCTTAATACCCTCCCTTATTTTCTCTTTCTGTGCAGGGATCCATGGGTGTGTGCTCCTCGGGACACGACCACGCATGCCCATGCTCACACACTGCCGCTTATGCCCAATCACTGGAAATACCTTGAAAGAAATCACAAACACTCCTTGGGTTTCACTCCCATACTGCTCGATCGCCTCTGCATCTTCTGTCACCATAACGATGGGCATCCTGTCCCCACAGTGGTGATAGTACCAGACAGCTGCGTTGTAGATGCTCCTGTAGGACCGAGCAAAGTGTGAGTCCTCCCAAGCAGGCAGACTGATGCAAGGTGACTTCAAACTCCTGGAGCTCTTCCTGCCTCAGCCTCCCATATTCTTCTTTCACTCTGCCATCGTTAGGACCAAATGGAGAACCACTCATTCATTCACTAAACGAATGCCTCCTACGGCTCCATTATATATCTATAAGCGCCAGGTTGGGTGCTCTAGGGGATACAGAGTGAATCCGGAAGCATCTGCGATCCCCGGAGACATCCAACCCCATGGCAGAACCTTGAATGCAGAAGGCTGTCATCTTTCCCCAGCCTGCAGGTGGAGGCTGAGCCACAGAGCAACCTATAATGAGGAGCACCACTGGGGGAAGCCCCGCGTCTCAGGAGAAGCCCTGAGGGCACCTATGCGTGCACACGCACTCCAGGCTCGCTGTCTAGATCCCTGCGAGGACCTTGCTGGGTTCTAGGGGAACTCATTCTGGACACCCACGTCTCCTTAATTAGCTTTAAAAACATACAACGATCATGTATTCAACACATCGATCTACAACACGGGCGCTGTAAGCAGTTCAGTACCGATCGCAGTTCCAACGTGGCTGCGGGTGGACTCCAGCACCGGTCAAGCCGGTGCTGGTGCTGGGGCAGGGTGATGCGGGGCACACCTGGTCTGCCACTTCTCCACGGCCTCACCCTTCTCCCGGGGGAGGTAGCATTGCTCCTGGAACTCGTTGGCGAAGAGGATGCAGTCATGCCGCGTGTCCTTCAGCAGGCTCCGCAGTCTGTTATACTGTCTGCAACAGAGGGAAGATCAGTTCGTGACAGTTGCGTGTCTCGGCTGGCTCCCGCGGAGGAGCCCGGAAAGGATGTATTAGATCAAAAGACGGAGTGCTAAAAACCCGGACACTTATTCATCCGGGCCTCAGCGTGCTTGGTGCTGCTGGACCACTTCCATGTCTCGGTTTTGCCTACTAGCATGAGCTTGCCTAGAGTCTGATTAGTCTGCAGATTAATTAAACCCCTTGTTCTCCGTTTTCCCTCGACAAAGCCTCTGTGCACACAGGCAAGCAGAATCTTACACTATTTTTGTCTTTTTGAGAGTCTCCCAATATAGTCCAGGCTAGCCTTGAGCTTGAGGGAGTTCTCCTGCCTCAGCCTCCTGAGTAGTGGGACACCGGCTGGCACTTTATTTTTGAACCTCACTTTGTTCTAGAAATGGAATTAGCATTCTGTAGATTTTACTGTTTGCTGGCAGACCTCGTAAGGAACATGTAAGGTAAATAGGTTTAGGGCTTTATCTGTGAGTTTTATTTTTGCAGTCGGCCTGATTTACATAAAAGGGAGCTAATCATTTACTGGCAGACAGCTGAGGAAGTTGGAAAGTTTCCCATCAAAGATGCTTCCAACAATGTCAAAATCAAAAATTAAATCTAGTTGGGGGAATACCCTATAATATCAGCTACTTGGGAGGCCGAGGCAGGTGGATGGTCAGCTGGAGGCCAGCCTTCGATGTACAAGACCCTGTTACCATAAAACAAACAAACAAACCCCTTGTTAGGGGTGGTATATGCCTATTAGTTCAAACTGTATGGAATTCCAACTAACTGGGAGGCTAAGGCAGGAGAATCTCAATTTCAAAGCCAGCCTGGGCAACTCAGTGAGACCAAACCACAGAATTCTTCCACTTATTCGGTCCAAATCAATACCAGTATCTTTCAGGTCCTCAGCCGTGGCAATGTGGTACTAGAGAAACCAACAATTGGAACTGTGATTGGTACTTAGGTGCTCAGTGTGGCCACCTGGCTTGCACTTCATTAGAAAAAGAGAAATACAGTTTTGTGTTCTTAGTATAATTTTGAGTTACCTTAAAAAGACTCAGGCTGGGGCTGTACCCCAGGTAGGTGGTACCTGGGACAAATACACCCTGGGTCTCATTCCCAGCAAGGCAAAAAATATAAACAGTCCCAAAACTCCAAAACAAAACAGAAATTATCAAGCAATTGCCAGGTATAAAGTATCATAATAAACAAAGAGATTCAGTTCCACTTCTATGAATGGCAGCTTTTCATAACAGAAATCTGCTTAAACAAACAAAAGCCGGCTGCTCTGCAAGACTGGTACAACATTAAGTATATTTTTCCCTTTTGTTTATTTTGATTTGTGACAGTCTCTCTTTTTTTTTTTTAAAGCGGGGATGGAACTCACGACCTTGGGTTTGCCAGGCAGGCGCTTATACCATTGAGCTAAATCCCCGGCCCCTCCTATAAATTCTTGTTAGACTTCCCATGCACTCTTCCAGATGTCGGCTCTCCATCTGGGGGATCCAATGAAGAGCACGAGAATGCTGATGGGAAAGCAGGAAGCCCACAGCGAGGCTGTGGCTATAATTTAACAGTGCTCACAGGTGACACAGTCATATTTTCCAGGAGTCAAGGTGTGCAGCGCTGTGACACAGTGAGACAGATGAGTTTCCTGGGTAACGGCAGCACCGACTATCATGCTGTCTTGAACAAGTTTGACCAAAAAGACAGGGCGGGGATGGCTTGGTCAGGTACAGTGAAGTCTTAAGGTTTACAGGTTCCAGACTCACAGAAAAACCCTACACAGAAAATCCTTGGACAGGCTTGGATGTTTTCTAAACCTCCATGACCCAAAGATTTCAAATTTCTCGGAGACAGCTAAACTTACTTCTTTAGACTGAATTGTTTTGTTTTGTATTTTAGATTAGCTGAATTGCTGAGCTCTGGCAATCCTCTGCCCTCAGCCTCCCAAATGGTAGGACTACTGGGTTAGAAGTGGCACCTGCATACTGGGCGTGGTGGCTCATGCCTGTAATCCCAGCACTTGGGAGGTTGAGGCAGGAGGATTGTTGTGAGTTCAAGACCAGCCTAGGCTACAAGGTGAGCTCAAGGCCAGCCTGAACTGCATAGTGAAACCCTGCCTCAAAAAGACCAAAAAAAAAAAAAAAAGTGGCACCTGCAGCTCATTGGAAGAGGCAGAGATGCAACTTCTGTGTTGAATCTGTTTCTTCACACAGGTCCGTGAGTACCCTGGGTCTCCTGAGTTCTTCTTCTAAGTCCCTGGGTTTCACATCAGAGATGTTTCTGTGTCTCCTCAGACTCATTTTTCTGGGGTTGACTGCAGATCATCTGAACCATCACCTTGCTACAGCCTGGCCCTTGAAGTCTCCAAAGGTTCACATTAGTGGCCTGGCAGCACCATTTGGAAGTGGTGGACCCTTTAAGAGGAGGGGTCTATACGGAGGTCTTTAGGTCACTGGGGAGTGGCCTCAAAGGGGACACTGGCTATAGGCTCCCCTGCTTCCTGGCTGGAGCAAGCACCTTTCCCCACCACATATCCTGCCAAGATGCACTGCCTGCCACAGGCCCAGAAGTACAGGACCCTTCACACCACACTGGGAGTCAAGAGACATTTGCTTTCTATTTATAACTTAATCACCTGCAGTACCTGCTACAGTGGCAAGAAGCTGACTGACACACACTGACTGTGTTGCAGCCCAGCACCAGCACTGTCTTCTCTGAATGCCCAGAAATACGCAGCTGCTGGCCTTAACCCTTTACCTTACGCTCCCATAGGTGATCCTATAATCCCAGCACTCTGAGAAGCTGGGACAGGTTGAGCCCAGGATCACAGGTTTGAGCCCAGTCTGGGCAACTTAGTGAGACATTACCTAAAGATTTAAAAAAAAAAAATTTTTTTTTTTTAATGGGCTAGGGATGTGTTTTTAAAGTCCTGGGTTCTATCCTCAATGCCAGGAATTTAAAAAAAAAAAAAAGAGTAGAAACAAAATGTAACCTGACAGTCATGTTTAGAAGTTGGGCCTGAGGAGTTGGTCAGAATTGGACAAGGTCATCAAGATGGTTAACCTATGACTGAATTATACACACGTGTCCCTTGTTCCACGGTGCCTGGTGGCCCTAAGACTGTCACCAAGGAAATCCATCATCAGAGGCAGCCTACAGATCTTCGACTTCTAGAACATAAGCTAGGATAAACCTTGTTTATTAATAAAGGAGTCTGCTTCAGGCATTTTGTTATAATAGCACAAAGCAGACTAATACAATCTGTCACCTGGAGGACAGCAACACACCTATCTCCCTTCTTTTCCCTTGGCCTCTTTTCCACCTGGCCAAATGACCTTTTTAAGATAAAAATCAGATCATGTTATCTCCCCCTGCATAAACCCATCCCAGAAATCCCTGAGGTCTATGAGGTCTTCTGTCTGAACTGGTGGGGCTTGTGGGTGCCTGGTCCCTGTGCTTCAGTGCACTTATCATAGCTGTAAATAGGTATCTGCCTGTGACACTACCCAATTCCTGCCAGTGCTCCCTAGGACTGGGCCTGCTTTTGCTTACCGCTTTATCCTTGGTGCTAGCAGTTTCTGTAACATGCGTGCTCTCATAAATATTTGTAGAATAAACAAATGCAATCAGGCATGGTGATACAGACCTGTAACCCCAGCACTTTGGCAGACGGAGACAGGAGGACCACAAGGTTGAGCGACTAAGCAAGATTCTGCCTCAAAATAATTTTAACACGTGCTGGGGAGATAGCTCAGTGTGAGGGCTCTGAGTTTGACCATCAAAACACACACACGCACACACACTCAAATGCACATATGAATTAGTGAATCTGGTAGGTAAAATACCCTTACAAAGTTATAAAGTGATTTCCTCATTAAATAAGCATTAGTGGGCAAGGTAATGCATACCTATAATCTCTGCGGACTTAAGGCTGAAGCAGAGGGATCACAAAATCGAGCCCAGCCTGGGCAATTTAACGAGATACCAACTCAAAAACTGAAAAAGGGCTCAGTGGGAAGGCCCTGGGCTTGACTCCTCTCACCACAAACAAAATAACAAACCAAAATCAAAATATCACACTGGAGGACGATCAGATGATGGGCATGTGATTATCCTCAACACCGAAGACTTGACAACATTCATTTTGTACAATTCTCCTAAATGAACAGCTTTCTACATTGACATTATTGACATAAATACATAAAATACCACCACACACAGAAGCAGATTCCAGGTTCCGTGTCTCCATTATTGTACTCAACTCTGACCTCATCTCAGTGGGACAGTGTCATCTGTCACATTAAATTACAGCTGGCCTCCTGTGTCTTCGTGTTCCACACCTGAGGGGACCTGGTTCACGGAGGGAAGATACTGAAAGCTCGTGGATTTTTCTGGCCTTACTCCCTGAGGCATCTAACAGCCATCATCTGGGGGCTTCACAGTCCTGTAGGTTTTTTTTTTTTTGGTACCAAGGATCGAACTAAGGACTACGTGATTGCAAGGCAGGTGCTTATGCCGCTGAGCTAAATCCCCAGCCCAATAGTCCTGTGGCTTAAAGCAAACACAGTAAGGCATGCACAGGTCATAGGCAAACACTGCATTATTAAGCCCTACTTTGAGGCAGTGAAAATACAAATAGTCTCTCACTGCCTCAAAATGTGCTTATCAAATGGAAACCCAGGGTGTTATCATAAGGACGTTTTTCATAACTTGTCTTCTTTTGTATTCATATCTAGTATATTCAGAGCCATGGAAAAGTAGTAGAAAACCAATAATTTTTCATCAAATTAACTACTTTTGAACCATGCAGGAGACAAGACATTTAAATTCCAACACTTTGCCTTTGAATGTCCCAGGAATTGCTTTTTAAAACTATCCTTAACATTAAAAATATTTTAGAAAACGGAAGTTGAAAAGGCTTGGAGTGTGTTCACAATCCCAGCAATAATAACAAATTGATCCTAGCAGCAGCAATTGAAATATGACATCTGCAGTGGCATTTAAACCCAGAGGTATGTAAATATCTATATCTCTGTGTCTGAACAAGATCAAGTCATTTTAAAATATTCTGTCTGAAAAAACCCTGTACACACCTAGTTAATGTGCATTTCTTTTTGAACCGAGCATATCATAAGGACAATTTATCATTTTTGCATACAAATAAAAACACTTCATCTTTTATTTCCAAGGTCTGAAGAAATCACATGATTTTAAAAAAGAATAAACACATCATTTCTGCTTATTAAATAACCCGAGAAGTGAGGAGGCTGGGTATATAATTCCAATATGCTATTTACATTGTCAAGCGCAAATCAGAAAAACCTTTTCCAATGTGAATGAAGCAAAACTATTTTATAGAGTATTTGTTTATAATGTGGACAAGTATTCTTCATTTAGGACCAAGGCTAGCATTTAGATGGGGTCAATTAAGAACTTTTTGATTAGCAAGTACACTTACAATGGTTGGTAGCTACACTAGTAATCTAGTTTCTAGTAATCTAAAGAATCATTATAAGTACATTTGTATTCATAATATAGGGGCCTATTAATGTCTTTAACTGCAAAATTACTTTCTTTTTGTTGTTATACTGGTAATTTGAAGGTCTTCATTTTATACCATCGTCCACATTGTAACACTCTCTATATAACATATAGGCCAAATCCAGGAGGCTCACTTCTCAGTATCTCCTTTACTGTTCAGAGATTTTTCTGTATGCCCATCCTCAGGAGTCTATTCATGTTGACTAATAAAGGCTTTGGGCCGGGGGGCAGGGGGGCCCTAAACTTAAAAGACCTCTTTTTTCCCAAGAAAAGAATATATGCTGCTGCAAAACGTACCTTACAAATAAGATTAAATAATATGATTAGGAAAAAAACCCAATAATGCTGCTACCATAAAATGCAAAACACCTATAATCCCAGCACTTGGGAGGCTGAGGCAGAAAGATCACTGTGAATTTAAGGCCAGCCTAGGCTACATAGTGAGTTCAAGACCAACCTGAACTGCATAGTGAGACCTTGACTCAAAAAAACAGAAAACAAAAGGACAGGGTGCAGCTCCTCTCTGGCAAACACAAGGTCCTCAGTTCGATTCCCAATACCCACTAAGTACATAAATAGGAAAAAAAAAAAAAAAAAGCAAAAGATAGTTCACACCAGAATCTTAAGTACTTACATACCATGGGCACTAAAGTTTATTGATCTACAGTCAGATCTTTGGGCCGGGTGTCGAGGCAGAAATATAAAACAATGTTACTGCATTCTTAGCTAGCAAAGAGAATACCAAATTAGTCTGAGAAGTCTTTTCTGACAAAATAATCAATTCTATCCTTTCTCCTCCAACAAGAGGCCTTTCTAAAGGTGGGGGAAAGCTGCAGTAGAAAAGAAAGAAAAGAAGACATGAGGAGAAAAGAAAGAGAGCGAGCAAGGGAATGAAAGGCAGCAAGCAAGCAAAACAGGTACCTCCGGCCCCTTTGATGCTGCACAGCTTGGCATGCCGTTTGCATGAAAATAATCCCCTTCAGTTCTGGAAATTCCAGGATCTCTAGGTAGTCTTGGACAACTTTCCAGTCTGGGATCACGTAATGAGTCACATCGCTAGAAAGGAGCTTCCCATCTGAAACAATCGAAGGTGTAAAACTAAATAAATAAATCGAAGGCCTAAGAGATTGCATCCTAGTTTTCAAACCCAGTCTAGGAGTATTTCAATGTCATGGTGCAGTAACTTCTGATCTTAGTTCTACCATGCAGTCTTTAAAAGCAGACACACAGGGGCTGGGGATTTAGCTCAGCGGCATCAGCGCCTGCCTTGCAAGCAGGCAGGCAGTCGTGAGTTCGATCCCCGGTACCGATAAAAAGGGAAAAGACAAAAAAAAAAAAAAAAAAAAAAAAAAGGAGACACACAGCTGCCTTGGTAGAGGCCTCAAGTCTGGGGTAATACACCACTTACTTTCTGGTTTTTGGATACATAAAAGCCCAACAAGGTTTATGGTGTTGCCCAGTGGCTCAGGAGGAGCGTGACTGATAATTTATAAACAGTAGATTTGCAACATAAGCTGAATATTTCTGGGTAAATTCATTGCTGTGCACTCACTCACGTTCATACAGGGCACTCCAAAAAACGTGTGTGTTAGAGCCACTCGTGTGTGGCCAGCAAGTTTAAGCTAGTGTTAAGGAACAGAAAAACAGAACTGCGCAGAAAGATGCCGTGCCCCAGTCAAGGGGAGCGGAAGGGCTCCCACATGGCCGAAAGCTGTTTAGCCAAGTTAGGTCCCAAGCATAAACCAGGATTACAAACCTCGCACCCTGGCCTAGTAGGGAAATGGCAAATAAGGCCACCTGCACCCTAGACGGGTACATGTACATCCTGGGAGTGGGGGGCAGGGTGGCCCATAGCTGCCGCCATCCAGCTGCCCCGCAGGATCCTTCTCGGCAGCACGGGCCTAGTTCCATCCCCAGCCCCGAGGCCTCGGTGCAGGCAGCCCCGAGGAGCTGCGGGCGCAGAGCGGGCCCAGGGGCTGCAAGGCGGGGCGCCCCCCCACCCAGCCCCCGTCGGCGCCAGGCAAGGCCGTGGGCGGGAAGGAACTGAGGAGCGCGGGCTTCGGGCCCTCCCAGGCGGCAGGGCGGAGCCATCGCGGACCGGGCCGCGATCGGGCTGAAGGTGACGCCCGGAGGCCGGCGGAGGTGGCGGCAGCCGCGCTCCCCGTGCGCGCCCCGCCCGGCCTCGCTGCTTCCCCGCTCCCCGACCCCGCGCACCGTGGCTGCAGGCGGCCGGCAGCGCGCACAGCGGGCTGTGGCAGGGCACGCAGGCCCGCAGGTAGTGCTCGCGCACGATGCGCAGCGTCCGGCCGCGGAAGGTCCGCAGCAGCAGCACCTTTTCCCGCTTCTGTAGCATGGCGGAGGCAGAGGCGACTGCGCCGCGGCGGCGCAGGCCGAGGAGCGGGCGGAGCGAGGCCCCTGCGTCGGGCCCGCCCCTCGGCCCCAGGCCCTGCTCGGCCCCGGGCCCTGCCCTGCTCCCGGCCGGAAACCGCCCTAACGGCCGCCCCAACCCCGATCCCCATCCCGATCTCCGGCCTGCACGATCACCCCGGAGTGCACACCCAGGGGCTCGAGACGCAGCGCGGAAGCCGGTTACGAGGCCCGGGGGGGAGAACGTTTGGAAAGGCTGATCACATCGTGGGGTGTACCCTAGGTCCGTAGGGGACGGGACTGCCGTATTAGTAGGGATTAGCGGTGGTTTCTTGGTCGCTGTATCCCAGTGAGCTGAGTAGGCAAATAAACCGGCAGCCGGCCCGACCTAACTTTTTTTCCTTGTTACTACACTTGTTGAAACCGGGCGTGGTGACGCACTCCTATAACCCCAGCGCCTGGGAGGTTGGGGCCCCAGGATCGCAGCGATTTTGAGGCCAGTCTGAACTGCTTGGCAAGACCCTGTCACAAACAAACGCACTTATTTTCTCCACGATGCACGCAATCACCATGTACTGCAAGCATACCAATAAAAAAAATAAATTTAGAGGGAGTGAGAAGGTGAAGTGTGATGTTAAAACAAGAAGCGTTGTGTTCCCAGCGCTCAGGAGGCAGAGGCAGGACGATGATTATGAGCTCGAAATTAAAAACAAACAAACAAAAAAAACTGTACATGTACCAGCTCACCATGGTGAATTTAATCATTATGTGGACTAGTAAAAATGTGAAATCCTTTTTTAAAATGTAGATAAAAATGTACTTGCTTTAAATCTATTTTACATTTTAGGACATGTCAAAATTCTAATACAATAAAGTGAAAACGAATCCCTTCCCCTTGAGATAAATATTGTGCAACTTGTATAGCATTTGTGTTCTCTGGCAAAGGAGTTCTGTTTCAGCCCAATTTGGGCGATTTAACTAAGGGCCTGTCTCAAAATACAAAAGGTAAAAAGAGCTAAGGATGTAGTTCAGTGTGAAGGACCTGGGATCAATCCAACTGTCAAAAAATCAAAAACAAACTGGGTGTGGTATGCATGCCTGTAATCCCAGCAACTGTGGAGCCTGAGGCAGGTGTATCGCTGTGAATTCGAGGTTAGCCTGGATTACATAGTGAGTTCAGAGTCAGTTGAAGCTCTGCCTCAAAAAAAAGAAAACAAAACAAGCAGAGCTGGGTGTGGTGGTATATACCTGTAATCTCAGCACTTGGGAGGCTGAGACAGGAGGATCGCCATGAGTTAGAGGTTAGATACTCTGGGTTACACAGTGAGTCAAAGCCAGCCTGAACTACATAATGAGACTTGTCTTTAAAATAATTAAAAAGCAAAAAAATTTTTGATACAATCAAAACAGACCCTGACCATGTTTGCCTTTCAACAGAGGGAGTCATTCTTTCCTGATGTCACACACCAAGCATTCAGCACAGCACAGCTGCGACAGCAGCTTTGTACATCAGAGGCATGGGGCTTTGGGAACCCCATTTTACAGACTGGAAGGCTGAGTGGCTGAGAGTACTCAGTTATTAAGTAGCAGAATTGGTGCTGGAGCCTGAATCTGCAGCAGGTTAAGGCATCATGATGCTGTTCCCTCACAGGTGAACACAGGGCAGGTCCTGTGTCTAAGGAGTTGGCAGAGCACTTACGTCAGCTCTGTTAATGAAGGCAGCACCTCCAGCTGACTAGAAGCCTTGGAGCCTCCTGGGCTGCTGAAGTGAGCAGTCCTGGGCTACTGAATTTTTTTGCTCCGGGAGGCATCTAAGGAAGCACGGGCCCTCACTTGGTTTCCCTCTGTGTCAAGTGGCCCTGTAGTGTGAGATGGAGCTGTATAAGTAGGACAGAGCTGGCCTCTGGGCCAGAGAGCAAGGAAAGTGCACAAAGCACCTTCGGCTCTGGTCCAGGAGGTTAGTTTCCAAGAACCTAAGGGACAACTAAGATCCAAATTTGTCCCCAACACAAAAACTTCACAGAGCTGCCTATGATACCCTCCAAAGTGCTCCTTTCCATCTGTCATGAGTGATTGTATGGGTAGCAGCTTCAATGAACTAATGTCCCCTTAATATCTCCCTTAAGCTATTTGTAGCTTCCAACTTTCCCTAAATTGGGACAAATAACCTTTCAAAAAAAAAAATGTCTGGGCTTCTACTGACAGTTGTTTCTATCAGTAATTTAAATAATCCAAAACTCACTGAACAGCTCTTTTGCTTGAGTTGTAGCCATATTGTACAGATGGTTTTTAGTTTTATTTACTCATTTACTTATCTATTGAGACAAGGTCTTGTGTAGTCCAGTCCTTGAACTTTCTATGTAGCCCAGGCTGGCCTCCGTATCTTCATCCTCTTGCCTCAGCCTCCCAAGATTAAGATGGCTTTTTTGTAACATGTCCCTTTGTTTTTAGCGTGGATTACCTAACATGACCAACTACCTTTTTGTTCGGTTGGTTTGCTTCAAAGGCTAGCTGATGCCTCTTGATTGAAAAAAAGTCTTTATCAGTGAGAATGTGCTAGTTTATGCTGCAGTAACAATTTTTAAACTCTCCGTATTTAACACAACAAAGCTGTCCTTTTGCCTTTCGCCTAGGCCTGGACTAATAAAAGAGGCTCTCTAGCAAAGGAGAGAGAGCCCCACACCAGCAATTTTAAGTTCAGTCCGGAAGTAATAATGTGCGGCACTTCCGCCTGGCCGGGATGGGTCACGTGACCGCAGGCCCAGCAGTGTGGGCGGGGCGGGGCGGGACCGGAAGCGCATTCACACCTCAGGTCCCGAAGGCTGAAGGCTGAAACCCTCTGAGCTGGAATGGTGAGAGATAGAACTGTAGAGGGGGAAGAGGAGGAGGACTGGCGGCTGCTGAAAAGATAAGAAGTATAAAATATAAGTAACCTTTATTTTGGGAATGTGGGGAGAGACACCCGGGAGCCCCTGGGGCGTGGCATCTCCACCCCAGGCGGTAATCTCTCCGTGGAACACGTGGAGTGAGGCAGGTAAGTAGGCCTGGGGTGGAAACTAAGGGGCATTAGGGATGCACAGGTAGCCCATTGGTCTTAGTTTGGCGCCAGAGGTAATTTCTAAGGGTGGGGGGAGATAGGAGCTCCTTGGCTTTACCAGCTACAGTATCCGGCCTGGGCCAGCAACCCTTTCAGTGAGGATGACAAATGTCTGAGGAGAGACCACGGCAAAATATAACTTCTGTGAGACCTGGAATGGAGACACTTAGAAAACAACGTCGTGAAGAGAAGAAGAAGTAGAGGTCCAGGAATCAAGAAAGAACCTACAAGAAAAACCAGGACTACATAGTGAGATGCTGTTTGAAAACGGAAACAAAGACGAAAATAAAAACAACCACTAAACAAGCAAGTGGTCTGGAAAACTAACCGGGGAAGGAACCTGTGTCCAGCGATACGAGATAAGCCCAAGGACACCCGTAAAGGTCAGGTGTTCTCCTGTCTGTGAGAGACGTGTGACTTTCTGAGGCAACAGAGCCTCAAAGTGTTACTTGGAGGTGTTTTCCAGGTTTTTTTTTTAACTTTGAACAAAGAATTGGTCAAAACAAGAACAAAAATGTGGCAAGGTTTTAGGTTTACTAAAGGGGGAAGGGAAAGCCATGCTCTGCAAAACAATGGTGCGCCAAAAAGTAGGAAAAGAAGCATAGTAAGTGATGGGTTCCGCCGCTGTGAAGCGCTGCCAGGCTCAGTTTGGTACCTGCCCAGCGTGGCGTTGGAGAGAGCGCCTTCCTTCCAAACTGATTTTCTAGTTTTCGCAGACCTGAGAATTGAACCTCCCTTTTCACACCCGGGCCAACATTCCTCCAGTCAGCTGTCGAAATGTCACTGGTGTTTCCCCCCCCCCCTTCAAACTCCACCCTCTGTCAAACTAAATAAAAGCTCACAGACTTCTTTGTCTGCCCCTAGGGGGATCTTGCACCCCTCTGCAGCCCTCTCAGGGGCGAAGTAAAGAGCTTTTTCTTGTTTTCCTTTCTTTACTCTTGCTTTCCTACTGCACCGAGGAAAAACCTGTCAATATGTCCGCGACTTAAACTTCCGCAGATATGAATGGACCTCCCATGAAGTACATTTGTAGATGCAAACAAATTGCAGAAGTCACTCCCAGGTCTGCTGGCCATTGTCACAGTTCTGCTGCTGTGTGTTTACTGAACACTGCAATAGGAGACAGTAGTACAGTCCACTCAAGGGCTTACTGTATTTTTATGTGTGTGTTTGGTCTTTTTACATTGTATGTTTGTGTCAAAGCTGTGTAAGATTCACTTTGCTGGACTTATGAGTGAGTCCAACTTCTCCTCTTGGAATGGAAGTCGCTCATAAATCAGGAATTTATTGTACACTGCACAGAGTGAAAGGGAGAGCGGAATGGCCAAGAGCTGAATGGTGGCTGTCTTTTCTAACTGCTGTTCTTCAGGCTGATGTTGGGCTAGGACATTCTGTCAGAAACCTGCTAAACTTCTCAGGAGAAGTGCTGGAGATAGAACATTCTGATTGGTTCCAGGTGCAGGCTGGGGCGTATGTTTCCTGGACCTCCATAACTGATGGGTTACCCACTTTTGTTTAGTTGC